CCCCCCCCCCCCCCCCCCCCCCCCCGATCGCACGTAATAGCTGATTTTCAACCGCGCTTCCCTAGTTATTCGATGAGCTGAAGAACATTCGAGCTGCGAGTCCTACTTCACTTCCTCACCGTTTATGAAGACAATATCTCGCCCCAGTCACTATCAGTCAGTTTTCATCCCAGGCCTGAGATACACTCCTGCCTGTCGGACCCGCCAATTATGGCGCAAGCTAGCTCTCAATCAGGATGACGGCTTAGAGTCGGCGCTTTCCCTGGCAGGCAACGTGTATCTTGAAGCTTGAACATTGACCGTTGAAGGTTAAAGTTGCAACGGCTCAGCCAGATTGGCCGAGCGCTCGTGTTCGCTGCAGATTGTGGTAAACAAACTGCGAGTCCGCGGAAGCTCGTTCACAAGATCGTGCTAATTTCGTTTCGGCAGCCCAGCACTGGTGGTGTCAATGTTCATCGTGGGCTGTGTGAATGCAAGCGGCACGTGGCTCCTTGGCCGAGCTTTCAAACACCTTCAACCATTCCTCCATCCTCGCTGCTAGCAGTATCATTATGCTCTTCTCGTCGGTTCCAGGGGCAGCATCACGAGCTGCAACGAAGGTAAAGTACGCGCTCTATTACGTCTTGCAGGTAGATGTTCCAGTCAGGCCGTTTACGACTCAGACCATCATCCCTTGTGGCTGATCATTGAGGCTTTATGTGACAAAAGCTGTAATCTAGGGCTATTATACAGACGTTAAAAATATCGAATACATACTCCCGTACAAGAAACAGACTATGTTCTACACAGAACGAGACACATCAGAGGGCATTATGCCCACCCGTTGAGCCGAACGCGCCCACACCCCGCACAGTCTCGTCCAGCTCTGCAACTTCTTTAATCTTGGGGGTATAGATACGTTCGATGATGAGCTGCGCGACGCGATCGCCTTCCTCCACTAGAAGCATTCACATGTAAGGGATGTCAATTCTTTGAGAGGTGCAGGAGTGAACGAACCTTCGAAGTCCTTGTCTGACAGGTTATAGAGGAGGATGTGCACGACTCCCCGATAGTCTTGATCAATGACACCGGCACCGGTATCAATCATAAATTTTGTCGCTGAGGAAAAGTTAGCAGATGCGAGGAGATGTCTGGTTTATTTCGTACCAAGGCCACTACGCGGCGCAATGCGTCCGTATGTCCCGTTTGGGACTGCAATGGATAGCTGGGTGTCGACAAGTGCCTTGCCATGAGCGGGTACAGTCTTCTTCTCAGCACTGAATCGGATATGAGACAGCTGCTAGTCTGGTCGTTCCGGGAGGCGACACACCTGTACAGGTCATATCCAGCTGCGAAAGCGGTGCCTCGCGTAGGAAGTTTGGCCTTGGAGGAGTGTCTCTTGATTAGCAGGCGGGAGACTCTTGCGCCTTTGGGGCGGGCAGTCTTTTTGCTCAGCTTAAGCAGGGAGTGGGCGGCGCGGTGGCAAGGCATGAGTGTGGCGAGAGTGAAAGGGGTCCAACCCGGCTCGACGCGTTATAACTTCAAGCGGAGTTTAAAAACCGTGTTTTCTCCGAACGCTGATTTTAGTTAAACAAACAACGCGCCCTTGCGCGGTCACCTGAGAACGTGCCGTTGTAAGCGCCAGAGCGTCTTCTACTAGTAATTAGCTACACTGACGTCGGCTGGAACGAGGCTCCCGGTGGCCTTCAGCAATGCGCAAGCCCAAAGCTAGCGGGTCCAAGATTAAGGGTCAGATGCCCTTGGCCTACTATCTCAATCCGCCCTCCACCACCAAGGTCCCCGCAGACAGAAAACGTGACAAACAGCCACCCACCACCTCTTCCCAGGATGACTTTCTCGTCGAGGATAACAAAAACAAGATTAAGGAGAATGTCTCGCCTGTTACATCTCCACACAACACACCTAAGCGCAGGCGACTCCAACTCCAAGCCCTGGGCTCGGAGACTAACGTCTTCGGTGACGTTGAGACACCTGCTCAGGACGAAAGCTCGAAGGCACGTGCAGACGCAGACAAAGAAGGCGAGGTTATACAACTGTCGGACTCCTCTACTTTATCATCCACCAACGTACATGTGGGTTTACCCACTCCTGTTACGGCGCTCAAACCCAGGACAGGTGCCATGCAACGGTCGACACCAACACCCGCACAAAAGCCAAGCCACCAGCCTTCTGTCTCGACACATACTCCTCACATGCGCACTCGACCCCCAGATACTTTGCAGCAGCCCACACCGGACACTGCAGTCCGTGCGGTCAGGATGTCCATCGCAAGCTCACCGCCAGCCAGAGTCTCGTCCGACTCGCCTCCAACCTCGCGCATATCTTCTGCTAGGCGGATGCCCACTGCTGGTCCTTTTGAGATCGTTGCCTCATCTCAGGGCAGCCAAGATTTAGAACTTAATCCTTTCATTGACGGTACTGGTTCAGAGCCGACAATGGGCGGGCTCTTCAAGCTGCCTTCTCTGCCAGCCCGCCTTCAGCACTCGTCTAGCCTTTCTTTGGATACCTCTGGTGCACCTTCTTCTCCGACAAGATACTCCAAATTACATGGGATTTCAGCCTCAGCTGTCGGACGCACGCCTTCGAAAAGTGAGCGTGATATGATAGTGCCTAGCTCTCAGGGTGACGAAGACGAGCTTGAGTTTTGGTCTCCTGGAAAAAATAGTCACACCAGTGAGAGTAAGCTCTGCCACTTAATTCTCTGGGCGAAGGTTAAACGCCCTAGTAGGTCGGGCATCCTCAGATTTTGTACCACCATCTATCCCGGCAGAGGAAGAGCTGTCTTTGTCTAGTAGTTTTAATCCAATCGATTATGTCTTGCTTTGCTCCCCAATAACGCGGTACGTTATACCTCTTACAGCGGAGCTCCATGCTAACTCTTGCCACAGGCTGAGTAAGTCTGCTCGTCCTTCGCTTGTCTATGACTCATCAGAGTCCGCACATAACCCAGCATCGCCAGTACTCCCTCAATCTACACTCCCTGAGCCATTCGCTCACAGCCCGCATACGCCGAAACGCAAGACTGTAACAAAGCATCCTTTCACGGGTGGCGTACTGCCATTTGGGACATCAGACCGCACACCCGCTGCAGACAGCGGTCATGGTGCCTCAGTTTCTCCTGAAAAAGATATTCGTGTCGGCTCGCAGACTATGCCAAAGTCACCTTTAGATGAGTCTCAAACCCAACCCGAGTCTCCACTCCTGGAGCGGATCGCACCTCGGACACCTCGAAGTCATGCCAGTTCAATAACTGTTCCTGAATCACCGCGGTCCCCGTTCAAGACCTTAAGCAAGCTCCATCTGTTCGAGGCCGACGGTAGCCAGACTCAGCCTGAGTCACCATGCTCATGCCTTGCCACCCCTTCAAGGCAAGCGCTTCGTGATCATCGCTCAGGGCAGGAAGATGCCTTCAGTTCTCAGACTGCCCCAGAGTCGCCTCAGTCGCCCATTGTGAAGACACGCGAACACGAGATGTGCAGAACGGAGGAGAGTGCTCAAAGCTCCCAGACTGTGCCAGAATCGCCCCAGTGGCGCGTGCCTACTCCCAATGCGACGCCTTCACAGAAGACGCGCGGCTACCTCCCTGACGACGAGAACCCCTTCGCGCCGATCCCAAGCTCGCTGCCTTTTGCCGAGTACCCCGAAAGCGAGTTTAAAGCCGAGACCTCGACGCAAGCCGGTCTGGCCTGTAGCGATGCGTACGACGATGGGTCCCAGACTCAGCCCGACGCATGGCCGGTGACTCCCCGCAACAAGCGACTAATGCAGAGACTGCAGTTTATTCGCCAGAAGTATGGCGCGGAGGCAGCTGAGAGGGGCTGGGACATGCTGTCAGACACGCCGCTCAGCATCCCGAGCGATTTTGATGAGGACGAGGCCATGAGCGAAGTTGGTTCAGAGTTGCCGTCTCCCGTGAGAGACTTTTTCGCTATGGACATGTAGGACTTGCGCGATCGGTCTTGGACACATCCATTCTACGCATTCTTATTTTCTTAATTCGCTGCTGACTTGTACCATCACAATACCAACTATCACTCGCGCGCATGCATATCATGTACTGTAAATATCCGCACCAATATAGACTCTTCTTGGACATCGACAGCTGGCGCCAAGCCGGCTGAGCCCTAAGGGTGCTGCGATGGAGCCTGAAACTCATGGTACGCACCACTCTCCACCTAGAACTACATCTGATCATGATACGACTTGTCAAGCACCACATCTCCTTCACGGCGTATCCCGTCTTGTCTGCAACAAAGAGCGCGTATTGGATATGGTGGCTCTTGGATCAGATGTCACACCCCGCCCGGGCTCTGCGCATATAACATGCGAGGGTTTGGTAAGGCGGCGTGTCTGCGTGAATGCCCGCAGCCTGCCACCCCTAAAGCCTCCGTGGGAACACCTGGACGAAGAACTCCCTCGATTTGTCGAAAGACATGCCATCCGCCCATGATCTCGTGTCGTGCGCCTACGGTGCCTCGGTCGACGTTGTCTTCATCCCGCCCGAGTTGATTGGAAACCAGCCCGTGGCGGCCGCGCCCAGGGTTGTGGCGCAGTCGGAGGTAGTCATGTCGAGGACCGTGAGGAGGGAGGCACCGGTGAGTCCCTGTGCCTCGCCCTCGCCTGTGCCGGACCTGACGTTTGTCCTGCGCCAGAGTCAGCCCCTAATGATGACCAGCGTGCAGCCTGTGCGTGCTAAAAGCGGACCGAGCGAGGCGTCGCGGCCATGGTGAGTGGGTCTTTTTCATCTCACGAAGCAACGTGAAAATGACACAGATTCTCATTTCTAGGAGCCCCGTCAAGAAGCTCACGTCCCGCCTGCGGCGCAGATCCTCCATAGCGAGCCCTCCTGCGGCGATAGAATCACCGGCCCTACCTGCCGCAGAACAGGCTAAGCAAAGAGTTGAGAACGCTTAGCTACTGGGGAAGAGTTGACAACGAGGTGTAGAGCCTTATGTGTTTGGGTCGTCTTTTCTCGTGTATCGTAGCTTCACTTGACGCCTGGTCACTGCTGGTTTCGATGTATATGCAATCATTCACACTCTAATCTTTCAATTTGTTGAAGACAGGATACGGACACACGCCCTATACACAACTCGTCGAGATTGTCTGTTGGCAGAGGAAGATAAATAGAAGTCGTACTAAATGAGCATATGAGTAGTGGTGGGGTGTTGAAGCCAGAAGTTGTCGCCAGCGACGACCTCCGCATGTGGCGAGGAAGACGAGGATGCAGCTATGGTACATGATTGCTGAAAGAAAGCAAGTGAAGATAAATAGGATGTCGTTGTCGGTTTGCGTTAACAAGTCGGTTCAGCTCGTGGACAGGACGGGCTGCCACACGCCGATGGAGATCTCCTCGAGGTGGTAGAGAATAACGCGGTCCCATGAGATCGGAATCATGTTTGCCTGCGGGTGAGGAGCAGTCAGCACAGCCGGGTCGCGACAGGCATCATGCAAGAGACACACGCCGGGGGCGCATGCTTACCTGGAGGAAGTGAACGCACGCACGCGCAATCCTGCGTGCAAGCGTCTGCAGCTGCACACGGCCCTCGTACCCGTCGACCGGGATTTCGTAAGTCATGGAAGTGTAGCCCGACCACTAGAAAAAGCAGCACGTCAGGGCCTCTGGGCAGATGTCATGCTCGCGAGCGGCGTACTCTGATTTTGAGGACAACCCTTCCTCTCGGGTCGACGTTGAGGTCGTGGAATGTGTAGTCGTCGTTCCCGCTCATGCGGACGTTTGCCATCGCCTCGCCGAGGGAGACGCCACTCCGGAAGCCACCCTTGCGGCGGAACTTAACAAGCGTGCCGTTCGGTCGGCGGAAGCTGTCGAGTGATGGGCGCTGGCGCGCCGACACCGAAGAGTGGCGGCGCCGCCTGGAGAGACCGGGAGTCCAGGGTGTCGAATACCCAGCAGCGCCTTCATCATAGTAAGCATCTCGGCCGTCGTATGCGTCGGAGTAAGCTATGCATGGAGGTCAGAGCTAGGGAAGCTCGAGAGAATATGGAACACACCATAGCCGCCGCCGCCGCCGTTATACTGGCTCACCTGCCGTGATGGGGCATACACCGGGAATGAACCTTGGGAATAGCCCTGTTCGCATATCCGTCAGCGGCGTCCGGAATGCGTCGTACGTTGTTCCGCTTACCTCTCCATAAGCACCAGAGGCCAGGGGCGGGTCGACATATCCATCAGTGTAGGCCATGGACGGGCGGCGAGAGAGAGGGAAGGGAACGCCGCCCTGATTGTAAGTGTCGTATGCTGGGTACGCCATAGATGATTGCTTTGGAAACAAGTACGGGATTTTTCGGGGGCAGTAGTAGTGTGCTGGTGGGTGGTGGGTGGTGGTGGTGGCGCGAAAAGCCTGCGAGTAGGGGATGCAGCAATGCAGGCTGACGGTTTATATAAATGATACATGCCGGCATGCGTGACTTAATCCTTGAGGCTGGCTAGTGTAACCCTGATGTCCAGGGGCCTCGAGGTCCGACATGGAATTCAGAGCGCGGTAGGCCCACGTTCCCGCTGACGGCTCTTCACTCGAGCCACTAATATTTGGCAGGCTTCGACGCAGCCCCTCCAGAGGGTTCTGCCCCTTGCCCAAGCAGGATGAGCGCATGTCCAGACAGGAAACGGCTCACAGGAGCCGCGAGTGGCAAAATGGCAGCGTCCCCATCTTACAGCCGCCGCGTCGAGTGCCCGCCAATTCGTGTGTGTGGTTCTTGTGTCAAGTCAATGAGGTCCTATGTTCGATGGCACACGACTCGCCGGTACAGAAGCAGCCCACAATGGGCAAGCCTGCAGATGCGAGGGAGCGGAAATGAGCCCAAGATCGGATTAGACATCTTTAGTACTGGCCTCGTGTATCCCGCGAGGACGTTGATGATCCTAGAGAAGGTCGGAGCTCTGCCAGGATGGCCACGTAGGAACGGACAAAGCCGGTAGGATTTGAATCAGAATCGCGAGTATGAAGACCGCAGTTGCGGCGCGAAGAGTTATAAATGAGTCCGGCAGTAGACATAGTACTCTATGCCGTCATACTACTTCCTCCATCAAGGATCTTCGGTGCACTCTTGAAAGCATTGCATGCACCGATGCGCGTACTCCGAGGAGAGTGTTGCGTCACTAGCACAGGAACTCGATCAAATCGGGCCCGCCCTGCGCTTTTGATACCCGAACTACGGCTTGCGATGAACGCCACCGGAACCTGATCACGTTCAGTCAGCCGGTAGTGTGACAGTCCCTGATTCTTCATTCCAAGTCGTGAAAGGCACTGAAAGGTTAATTCGCTACGGTACATTGCTATCGTACACACCAAGGTATTACAACGGTATAAGATATCAGACAGAAGTTTCGTGAGATGTGACCGTAGAGTATGCTGGTATATGACAAGAATAATCAGATTGAACCACTTATACGAAGAAAAATACAGAGGATGCCGTTATAAGGCACATTACGCAGCAGCGCCAGATGGTCCCATACCAACGCCAGGCGCGGTAGGACCTTGGGCTCCGTTCACGCCAGCGGCGGCACCAGGGTTACGAGCCCCGTTCTTTAAACCATAGTTGACGCTGTTGGCGCGAGAGCCGGCTCGCGACGCGGCATCGTTATGGATGTCTGCAAGCTTCATCTCGCGTTGTTGCTGCGAAAGCGTTGGTCAATGTGACACAGTAGTGACATGGCTTACGTACATCATTCACGTCCTTGCGATGCTCCCACTCGTCGACAGAGCCTCGCCTCTTCTGAAGCTCCTGTTCGAGACGTTCCTGATACTGTCGCGCGAGCTAGACAACGTTCAACCATTAGCTACAAAAGCGAGACACGCCGGCATGGCCGACATGCTTACATCCAGCCTTTTCTCTGCGCTCGCCTCAGCCTGAATCGCGGCCTGATGGTTGTGCTCAGCCTTTTCTACCGCACCGGCTGTCTTGTGTTCCTGCTGGACGGCCTTGTCCAGCTGGTGCTGAGCATTATCCGCACCCTAAACGTGTCCGTTAGAGCCTGGGTAGAATTCATTTGGGGAGTCGCGTACCTTGATGGCCTTTTGATGGGCCTTCTCGGCATTCTTGAGGTCTTTGACGACATGGTCAAGGTTCTTCTGGTCGGTGCGGGCGTCCTGGGCGATCCTCTTTTCGAAGTCGCGGATCTGTGGGTCGGTAGACATGCTGGAATACGACGAGCAAAGAGGCATTTGTGTGCACAAGTTCCGTGGCTGAGAAGTGGAACAGAGGAGCCCTTAAGTAATGCAGGACTCTCAGTGGCGTCATTGGAGCTGATACTACAACGGTGGCTGTCAAAGTGGCGAGCACGACCTGGACTAACAACGCGACACGAGCTAGGTTAGGGTTAGGTGTTGGCGATGGCGACGTCATTTTCATGGCCTGCCGACGCAGGTGCCTGTGGCTGTAAATATTGCACGTCGGCATACCTCGAGCTCCCTTCCCACTGATTTGCGACCGTCGAAAGGTTTTCTGCCTGTGTTTGACACGCTTCAGACACGCATTGCGACGACAAATGGGAACGGTTCGAGGGTCAACCGGTCACTGTGGACCCGAATGGATAAAACCCCTGAGATTAGCTAGCGCTCGCTCCACATGCATGATCCTCTGAAGGGAAGTTAGGTCTACAAAAAATTGAAGGGTGGATCCATCTTGACTCGCAATTTACGCAAATGGCGACTAGTGCTACCTTGTCTGCCTGCCCTGCTCTTGGCGAGGTGCTTTGCTCTTGACGAGGTGCTTTGCCCCCGCTGGCCAGAGCCTACACAGTGCGCAAGCCAGCACCATTTATCTCCACGGCTGATACTCCAAAGTGAAGAAGAATGCCCACTACAGATCCGGGTCCTGCCCGCCGGGATTCATTTGGTCGTTCTTCCCCCCAATTAACCTCTCGGCGGCCTCCACATTCTGATTTGTTTTCGACTTCGGCTGAGGACATTCCCAGCTCATTACCCTCCCCTCCTTATCGACGTGACCCGCCCAGATCCAACTTCCACCTGGGTCCATACCCAGAAGAGTCCCCGGCTTATAAGTCGCGGTCAAATGTCGAGCTGTACACTGAAATGTCTGCCATGGTCGACAAGAGACACGACAGCTCCGACCATGATTCTGATGGCGAGGAGCATCCCAAACATATGAGCGCAAAGACAGCTCGCTTCGAGGACGACTTGCCAAGTCCTGGGCACCCCGGCTCTCCGTTCAAGCGAGCCGACTCCGATCTGGACCTCGCGAGATCGCCGAGATCAAGGTCACCCTCTATCGCTGAGACGGATGACGGCGAGGAAGACGACTACGACTGGGACGCGGAAGAGGATCTAGTTGACCAAGAGGCACGGTTCGAACAAAACATGGGCCTGAGGAAGGAGTCGTGGGGCTTTAGAAGGTGCGTGTCCATCTTCCTGTTGTCGTGGTTCATATTAGAGCGTGTCTGAGGCCATAGAAAGAGCGCGGACACACTCAGCCCCGCCCAGGCCTGGTGCATGCTAATTCACGCTTTCCAGATTTCTGGCGCTCACCTTTGGATCACTCGTCGGGTCAACACTTGTGTCCGGAATCCTCATAACGCCAGCCTTACTCGTCCACTTCTATTGGTACAAACCCCATCCAAACGAGCATCGCCGCTATGTCAAAGACAACATCGAAGCATGGCTGTTCTGGGCCGCGGCTAACCTGACAATCTCATGGTACCTCGCACTGTTCGTGGAGATTGTACCCGTGGTCGTGAACTATACCATCGCCATTGCCTGGGGACACGTCAGCGAAAACGTGAAATCACGGACAGAAATGTACAGCGGGGTGAAGGATACGATCAAACCAGTCTTCTATGCCGCGAGTGCGTGGGTCAGCTGGGTCATCATTTTCACGAATATATACGGCCTTTACGACATGGACAACACTGACAACAGTCGTGCTGGATACACCGTACGGGTAAGTGCACTTCTCTCTCGGGTAGCATACAGAAATTGATGCGGCACAGTTATACGATGTAATCGAATTCATGTTCTTCTTCGCGCTGGTTATATGCGGTCAGAAGATGCTGACGCACGCAATCGGTAAGGCCGGACTATACAACGTAATCGGTCGCCTTCTCAATCAGAGCAGCTTTCCAGTTCCATCGTACGGCGTATCGGGAACGTCTTGATGCCGTGCAAGAGACCCTCAAGGTCATAGAGAAGCTCCGAGCACATAGACCCAAACGCTCTCACAACAAATCTGCATCGCTAGGCTTCGGCAGCCGCTCGTTCAACGCCTTCACCTACCTCTCCTCGTCACGCCCTGGGACTCCCACTCATTCACGAGGGCATTCTTGGAATGTAACTCCGTCGCAGTCTCGTGCACCTTCTCCGTCCCCTCTCGAGCATGAAATACGCATTGACAGGCAGGACTCCGATACAACCAATGAAGACATTGAAGCGATGCTTGTCATGAAATCGAAGGGAAAGCATAAGCAACTGCGCTCCTTCTTCAGTCATTCTCCTGAGCGAGTAGACTCAGACCCAATCACCCCTTCGCAACACAGCCACTCCGGCTCTGCGAGCCCGCATACGTACCCGCCCCGGCATTCGCACAGAGGCGATGATCCTGAAGATATCTTGGACGTAAAGGCAGCGGTAAAGAGTGCCGCAAAGACGGTCAAAGCTGCCGTGCTGCATGACGCAAGAAACATTCAAGGTCGCCTCGACACTGATCTCGGCGGGCTGGTCTGGGACGTCTCGTCATCATACGAAGCGAAGCGTCTTGCACGGAGCATGTACAACGCATTCCGCAGCCCGGGGCGAACCCACCTGGTTCCTTCCGATTTCGAGGCTGCGTTTGCCTCCAAAGAGGAGGCGCAGGAAGCTTTCCGCGTGTTTGACACGGACAACAACGGCGACATCACGCGTGCGGAGATCAAAACGACGCTGCTGAAGGTGTACAAGGAGCGCAGGTCCCTCAGCCGGTCTATGCGGGACGTCGGCGTCGCGCTGCAGACGCTTGATAACATTTTGCTGTTCTTCGCCCTGGTCATCTTGTTTTTCATCTCGCTCAGCGTCTTCGGCGTCAGTGTCGGTAATTCCTTGACGAGTCTGTATACGCTGGGCATTGGCTTGAGCTTTGTCTTCAAGAACGCGTGCAGCAACGCATTCGACGCTGTCATGTTCTTGTTCGTCACACAGTATGGCCTTTCCCGAGTCTTCGGCTCGCTACAGAGCTGACATTTGATGACTGTAGCCCCTTCGATACTGGTGATCGATGCTTCATTGACGGTATGTGCGCTGCTTCTACACTCGAGACACAAAATGACACCAAGCTAGATGAAAACCTGGTTGTAAAGAAGATGGGCCTATTTGCTGTACGTTGCGCTGCAATTACATATTTTAGCGTGCCCGCTCATCTGGATGTAGACTGTCTTTACCCGCCAGGACGGCACTGAATCCTATTACTTCAACAGCCAGCTTTTTACCAAATTCATGTAAGATTGCTTACGTATTATTTTTAGCATGTAGACTGACCGTAGTATTTCCTCAGCACCAATGCGCGACGTAGCGGAGTAAGTGCGATTGTCGATGAGTGTCACCCTCTTCCTGACCCTCGATCTCCAGAAAACCGCAGAGGCCTGTACTTTACAGGTGCACTGGCGTACACCTCTGGAGAAGCTCGATGAGCTTGAAAAGTGCATGAACAACTGGCTCTCGAAGGAGAAAAATAGGTGGTTCGAGCCCAGCACTTCTGTGACATTGCAGAACATCAAGAACATGCGGCACCTGGAGATTACCATAGGCATCAGCCATAATGGGTGCGCCTTCAGAATGAATTCTAGCGACATGCACTAACTACCTTTATGTAGTAATTGGCAAGACTGGAGTGCCCGCCTCACACGCAAAACGGCTTTTTATGCAGCTGCCGCGTATTACTGTCGACAGCTGGGTATCATCGCGTACGAGGCGCCGTTACCGATCGCGTATGTCGACCCTGATACCCAAGAGATTATGGCGTACCCCGGCGAAGACGACTTCATGGATGCCGGGTGGGACCAGCAAGAGGTTCAGTCGTCGCCACTACAAACCTCCCCGCAGATTCCGCAGCAGCCGTCGAAGGATTATCGACCGAGTGCCCTCGGCTTCGAGCCGCCACCGGATGGTCCGGGTATCCGTGCTCGCAAGTCGAAAAGCCGGAAAGCTGGCATGCGTGCAAATGGTGCGGACGGCTGAAGCGCTCCACGCTACTCATACAGCCTCTATTTCTTGCTGTCTGTCTAATGTACGCCATATATAGACGTACTTACATCCCTCGTTGTCGATAGCTGTTCAGTTTTTGAGTTTTCTGGTTGTGCTCTCGGCGCAGACTGGCTCATACATTAAATTTTTGATCTTTCTAGTAGTGTAGTAGGCGGAATACAGGATTTCACTGCTCAAGCTTATCGTCAACTGCTGATGCACTGAGGGGGCGCAGGCGCTACTTGTTTGGAAGACTCCTTACGTAATATTTGAAGCTCTAAGCTGGTACTACTCGGAGACTTCGCATGATACGACCAACGTCAGATGCTATAGTCGAGGCGGTATTCAAGCAGTACACATCGCTCAGGTTCAAGCCACCACCTCGTCAATTTACGATCCTTGCTGCTTTTATCCTATCAGATGACAACGCGAGCTTGAAGGTCATCTCCTTGGGTACAGGCTCCAAGTGTCTACCTGGCATACGCTTGGAAAATGGTGGAAATGTGGTGCACGACAGCCATGCAGAAGTTTTGGCTCGGAGATGCGCCATTCGTTGGTTCTTAGAGGAAATTAAGAGACCAGGTTCACGAGCAGGATCTTCGTGGGTCCGCGAGCAGCCGGGTGGTAAATTCGCCCTCGCGCCACATATTTCAATGCACCTTTATGTCTCTACTCTCCCATGTAAGTCAAGACTCATGCTCGGATGATGCCACTCTGAGTATCGAAAGTACAGGCGGCGACGCGTCTACTCGCCATCTAGCTGCTTTCCAGGACGAGGAGATGGCAGTTCTCAAAAACTCCGGTGCATTTCCAAATCTTCCTCCTGGTTCAGCTGCGAGAGGAAGAGATAATTATTCTTTGTACGGTGTGCTCCGTAGCAAACCCGGTCGCGCCGACTCGCCACCAACCCTGTCCATGTCCTGCAGTGACAAGATTGCAAGCTGGAATGTATTGGGTATACAGGGAGCTCTAGCATCGCGCTATCTCCGTCCCGTATACATTGACTCGATCGTTATTGGCGAAGTGGATGAAGCCATGCGGCCGCAAATCCAGGAAGACTGTGACAGAGCCTTCTGGTCAAGATTAAACCTCGTAGACTGTATGTTTCTGCATTTACTCAGTGGCCATAGCTTGTTGACGTTTCGCACAGCTCATCAACTGCCCGCTGGCTACGCGCTGAAGCACCCAGAGATTCGTTTTACGTCGCTGGACTTCGTGCATTCCAAGAAGTCTCTCGCAGACGCAAAAACGTCTTGCAATGATTGTACGTGGATGATTCTCCCTGACTAGTAGCCTGTACTCACAGACTACACGTTAGCTCTGTGCTGGATTGCAGATACCCCGAAATTTGAGGCTCTCATCAACGGTCTTAGGCGTGGTATATCGCCGAAGAACCGTCACAATGCCAAATTCTGGTAAACAAGTAACGTCTTGCTCTTCGTGATTGGACCGACGTGTAATCTGCTAGGCCCCTTGTCTCCAAGATTTCTTTGTTCAAGCTGTGTCAGAGCCTCGACGAGAAGCTGCAACCGCCTTCTGTGCTGTAAGTAGGACATTTTTTGCATACTAGCGTGCCTGAAAGCCAAACTGCCGTTTCAGCTCTCTCATAGGCGTAACCTATCGTAGCGCGAAGAACAACTCGGAAGCTTACCAAATGGCGAAGGACATTCTGAGAAGGTCTCAGGGTCCCTTCGCCGGTTGGATCAGGAGCGGCGTACAACACGAGAACTTTGATGCGGATGGCAACGTTTTTGAATATACACCATAGATCGGGGAACTCTGCCCTCTGCCCTCTTTCCGCAAGCCTGCCCATGTCGCGAGGTGAACGATATCCATAGCAGACCCGATCTTGAGATACGTGGTAGCTATACAAAGCCATGATGAGCTAGCTACTGGACACGAACATTGTCTTCTCCAAGAAGCTATCGACGCCAGAGTACTGCAATGTGCAAGTATAGACGCAATAAAAGTCGTTCTTACTGCGAGCCGATGGGCTCCAGCCGCAAGTACATGGAAGGTTTGTTGCTCTCTCTGCCGACGGTAGGGTAGTTGATACCTGCCATATTCCAATAGACTTCCTTTTCTCCCGGGAGAAACTTGAAGGAGCGCAGCATAACGGCGAGAACGACCTCTGCGAAAAGAGTTAGTCAAAGCATCAAAACTTAGATCACGAACTGCTCACTCATCTCCAGCTGGGAGAACTTGAAGCCACTGTCGCATATTACGAGATAAGTGATTTGTGCCTCGGAATTGACAAGAACACTCACATGCAAGACCTTCCACCGCCCAAGAATGTCATCCTATATGGCAGTCAAGCACAAAATCTTCTAAGATGCTTTTGACACTTACAGGTGAGAGTATACACCAGGCACATGTGCATTTCCGAGAGCATCAGGTAGAGAGGAGAGCCATCGCTCAGGCTTCCATTCATCGGCATCGTCACCCCAGAGAGCTTTGTTGCGGTTACAAGCCCGGATACCGATGAGAATGGTAGTGTCTTTGGGTACAGGTATTTCTGATAGCATTTCGCCATTGACTCCTTGGATGGGCTCAGATAGGGGCATAATCACGTCCTCCCGCGTTCTATTAAGTGTGTGAGTAAAAGATGCGGTCATCAGTCAGAATACGTACTCGCGGGCCATATAGTTCACCGGAGGATGACTAGGAAGTCCGCATCAGCAATTATTCATCCGAAGGCTGCAAGAAACTCACAGGCGGAGGGTCTCTCGACAAACAGCGTCGATGTAAGGCAATGCGACCAGCGTGTCATAAGGGATATCTTCACCACTGGGGCTGGCTTCCACCAGTTCCGCACGCATCTTATCCTGCACGTCCTGATGTTCCGCCAGTAGCTGGAAGATGCGAGACAGTGCATTGGATGTCGTATCGGTAGCAGCGAATACAAGAGTTCTGTACTAACTATTAGTCTCCAGCCGGCATGATAGCTAGGCGTTACAATAGCTACTGACGTTATTTGTCCAATAAGTTCGTCCTCAGGGAGTTTGTCTTCGTCAGAGGCTTCCATGTTTGCTTTCACTACAAGACATCGCAATCAGTTCAATTCCATAGACTATGTGGGAAGCCGCCTACTTAGGATGCTCATGATGTCCCTTCCTTCGCCAACTTGTTGAAGAGCCGCATTGTCACCCTTCTCCAAAGCAGCCTTCTTTTCATGGAAGATGCTCCTTGAGTGGCGATCCATGGCACCGATGATTTCGCGAAGCCGCCGGAATCTTTGGAAGGGAAGAAGCGGGGCAAGGAGATTCCGGACGCTCGATGGGATATACTCGTGGACGTAAGGATATAGAGTACGCCAGAGCTGTACGCTAAACACAGCCGGTCTAATACAGACGACGTGAGTTTTTGCGAAGGAGATGTTCGACCGAATACGCACACATAGTCCTTAATCGCTTCCCCGTATGGATTGCTAGTGTTTGCTACAAGTGGATCGAACGAATAACCTAATCCACCCTGACCGATTAGTTCTAACGCCAGGCGACCCAGCCATCCAAGAAGGTCCATCTCCGCAGATGTTTTCCCCACTTGGGATGCAATCGCGATTCGAAGCTAAGGAGGCAGTCAGCGGAGAAACGGGCAATGCATTACGCAGATCGACTTACGCGATGGGTAGTACGATAGAAAATTGGAGTCATGCGTTTCATATGGTTGATGGAGAAGGCCGGGTTCAGTAGCTTCCGCTGCTTGCGGTGGTGCTCACCTGTAAACAGCTCCTACCCGTAAGTTTCTCGGTGTGCAGCTACTAACAACTTCGTACTTGCCAAGCGTGGAAAGAAGACCAAGACCGAACGCATTTATGTTCCATCTTAAAGGCGGTAAGAATCACAGCCCGCATGATACGCGGGGAACGTACGAAATAAGCCAGCGACTCTCTTCGTAGATAAGCTGGTCCTTGTTTATGACATTATTCAAAGCCTTCGGATCGTAGACATAGAGGCCGCGGGTCTGAAAACGCGAAGTCAGTATCAGTCAGATTCTATAGGGCGGAGACTATGAGACGAACTCACGCCTAAAGGTCCCCAGAACTTAAAGACAGATCCGAATGACTCCCGAGCTCGGTCGTGGAAACCCCAGGCATGGCGGTTGTAAATATCACTCTGATTTCCTACGTACCGAAGTTCCCGTGAGGACAAGTGCAGCGAGGAGACAGGATTAAGAGGCGCACCTCTCCAGAAGGAAGTTCGACTGGGTCCAGGTATATTGTCGAGAGAGGACACGGTGATGTACCCTTGGAATAGTTTCCACAGAGCCAAACCCGCCGCCGCCGCACAGGCGAGCACGGTGAGGGAAAGCATTAGGTCGTGTCGTTGATGCGATTGGTGTTTGAGGGAGGCGAGTGGGCGAAAGAGCTGTCTGGCTGAACCGTAGCAGAAGCGACCGAAGTATAAATATGCAAAAACTTCAGGTGGCCAGGTGTTGCACAAGTAGGTTCTGACTTTCGTCAATGACGGAATCGCTGCTTCTTCCGATCACCCGTTTTACCGATACCGACTTAGCGGGTAGCCAGAAGTCAGTGAGGGGCAGTGGACTCCGCGGAGGAGTGAACCCAGCCGGCTCACCTTTGACAAGCTTTTTTATCGGTCAAATCCAAGTGCCGTATGTACGCCCAGCACTCACCATACACTTTTGTGGGGCGACGGAGCTATCTGTGCGGCTTATCTGTAGCGCTGCACGGCCTTCATGACGAAGATTCACTTACTTATTTGTCAAGGCACGATTTGGGCCGGCTCACATGGAACGCCAGCTTCTCATCTGCAACGCGATTGGACGCCAATGTAGATCTTCGCCAGCCGGGCATTCGGCCGGAATCAGCAAGCCCAGTCAGCGACAACGCAGCAGGTAACCGAGGCCAAGGGAACCGGATGAAAGGGCCGTTCTCAGCCATTCAGTGGAATGCGCATGATTGCCAAGTATGCCAATGTATCGCGTGACTTGTCAAATCAACAACTAGAATTGGCGCGGACGGCGTGTGCTCGAGTTCTAACGCAGAGTTCAGCGAAGACGAAATACAAGAATCGCTGACCCTATCGACGTCTAGTTTTCTTCCGCTTGCGTTGGGCGTCGTAGAAGTGTATCAGGAAGCTGAGATGGCTGTCAGTCTTAATGAATACGATGCATGCGACGGGACCACATTAGGACCGCGATGTCTCAGGATAAAGCTGGAGATAACATGGTGGTATTGATCTCGAAGGTCTGGGCGAAAGGCATGGCCGTTCGCGGGAGATCTGTGACGAAGAGGGAGTCGTGTCTCGTGCATGCTGTTGACGTCGATATCTCAAACCCATCCACGACCATTTCGGGCATCCGCCTTTGGGCTCTTCACGAGATTAATGGCAGGCGAGGAGCATGTAAACTAACTCATGCTGCAAATCCATGAATTCAATACAAGCACTATGCACGCATGTGCATAAGGAAGCGCGCAACGACTACTCACATATGGATGGCTAGTAAGTGGGTCCATGAACTGCAAAGGTAAAAGTGAAGGGACGCAACCGTAGTAACCGTCGTGCGGAGCTCACTGATACCAGGGAAACATTCACACGGGAGAGGAGTAACGTGCACGATAGCACTCTGGCCCCTGATATGCTTAAATGTGGCATCAGAATAGATTCGCGCGTCTGCACGTAGTCAGTCAGTAACAGATGTTTGAAGCGGTGAGCTCACCAGAAATCATCCGCTGATGCGAGAATGCGCTGTATAATTTTAACTCGATGTCGACTATAGCCTCAGAGCTGAGCGTAGCGACTCGCATCATTGCAGAACGAGTGAAAGGTGTACTTTATTAAGATAACAGCAGTGGAGAAAAAAAACGACTGAGTGCGGTCACTTCGAGCGTGCTTGCACTCGAGGGTCTCCCCGCTCGGACCGTTTCTTCAGCTTCTCCTGACGTTTGCTCGTGGGTTGCGGGGCCGGATTTTCTGCCTCCACTGGTGATGATCCGCCACGACCAAGTAGTATGGGCGAGATGACAGAGCCCCAGAGTTTGTACACGGCATACCCAGGAATCTATGGCGGTAAATGATGAAAAGCGCGCTTACGGTCGGGATGGCCTAAGGACTTACGATCAGGTATAACCACCACACCCAGGTCCCGAACAACCCGCTACCGACTTGGCATGCCCCTTTAGACAAGGTGTGAGGGATGCAGCCATCAAGGTGATATGAACTCACATGTGATGTAAATAACGTCAAAACACCACTCTAGTATTCCGGGATGTGCGAGATCCTCGCCAGACGAAATGAGTGTGCCAGTTGTAGGATCATGTCGAGGAGAACCGATCCGTTCCAGGTAGCGGGTCAGGAAAATTGAGGGGACGAGCGATAACGCGTAAATCCAAAATGCAAAAGTCTTGGGCGAAAGAGAGCCGCGGCTGAAGGCCATCCGAAACACCAAGGCGAGCGCACTAGAGATGAACATGCCTAGCCGCAAGTGTTTGACAGTTGCAGCATTCTGCGAGGCTGTAAGGCCATGAAGCCGCTTTAGGCGACTTCGCGACAGGCAAAGCGACGAGACTTACCTACGCGCTTTGCAGAAGCGTTGGCCATTATCCGAGAACCGTCCTAGCCAAATGAAACGATACTAAGAGTGGTGGCAGTAGTGTGTCGTTTGGGTTAAAGCAACACCTCCACGCGGTCGCGCGACAGTGCGCGTCTCCCTCGCCCACACGGCGCCTGTACGCTGTCTCCGCGGAGCCATGTCTTCCTCGTCCTCGACACCACCTACCGTGAGAGAGCTCACACAAGAAGTCTTGCAGGCAAACAAAGATCACCAATATGCGCTCAAAGTTTATACGGAAAGACTTGAAGCAGAGCTAGAGGCGGTGGACAAGCTCTTGGTATGTTTTTCGTCACGGACCAATCTCCGAGGTCTTCACGACCCGTTATGCCAGGCAGCAGCACAAGCACCGAATGACGAGCCCGACGTTGACGTTGGCGGGCATTTGGAGCTAGCTGGTGCGGCAAAGGCCCTTGGACCAATACCACCCGAGATCGCACCTGGCGTAAGTGGTGTCTTGAGACCTCTGATACTGATGCTCATTAGTCGCGTAGGACCACCCGTTTGCCGAAGATGTTGCAAAGCGTCGGCAATATATCCAATGTACAGCAGTGCATTCTAGTACGCGCGTACGTCTGCTTCCGTGATTCTTCCTGACCGACTTGGCAGTGAAGTCTCCCGATCTCGAAGCCCTAGCGGATGCGGTGTACTCAGAGAATCACCGCATATGTGCCCTCGAGGCTCAGAGGAGGTCAGTCCGTGTCTACATACGGCTATACGTGTTTCATCCCGACACATGCATCGCAGAGGCCAGCAGCCGTTTATCGCCTTAAACGGGCATTCCCAGCCTTTTATTGAACAAAACAAGGAGGGAATTAACTGGGAACGTGTGGCACAGAAGGTATGCCGCGTTTAGTTGCCCGCTCGTTTGCGATAAAAGGGACTTTATAGGTTTCTGCTACAGGCCCCAGTGGTGTCTCTAGAACGGCAGTGGAATGTGAGATACGCTGGCTCGGAGAGCGCCATCCCGACTTTTGCCATTCACCGTGGCCTCAGTCGGAGATCGCCAAGGTGAAAGAGCTTGTGGGGAATTCGAAGGAGGGTGAAGTGGACTGGGTCGAGATTGCTGCTAAGCTTGGGGTGAGCCTTTCAGTGTGCAGGAGGAGGAAAGGGTATAACTAACCGAGTTCATCGCGTGTCAGACGAGACGAACACCTATTGATTGCATGCGTCACGCTATTACACGAAAGCAGCACGTTTGGACGCCGGAAAGCGACCAACGATTATTAGAGATGGTCAAGGTGTATGGAACTGAGAATTGGCTCCTCGGTAAGCTCGTTCTGTTGCTGATGCTGTCTCTGAGTCTTATTTCCACGGCAGTGGCTCGACAAATCTCCGAAGATGCCACAGCTGCGCAATGTCAGAATCGCTACCAACGCACACTCGACCCTAATCTTCGTCGCGGTCCATGGACACCAGAAGAGGACGAGCGGCTTAAACGCGCTGTCGATGTGTTTGGACGGTCATGGATGGACGTCTGCACATTCGTGCCCACACGAAGCAACGAACAGTGTCGCGATCGTTGGCAGGAGAGTGTGAACCCTACCGTGAGTAGGACCAGATGGTCCGAAGAAGAAGACCAGATGCTGCTATCTGCCTGTGAGCAGCTCGGAGAGAAGTGGAAGGAGGTTAGCCTCAGGGTTGGGGGCGGCAGGACTGATAATATAGTATGCCTTTTCATGGCCTTCGCGCATACAATCTAACCGACAGCTATAGTGTCGTCATCGCCATGCTCTCCTTATGAAACGCAAGGCGAAGCAAACAGCGAGCAGCAGCCCCGCTCTTCCGGACAGCGGGGTTTCAGCCCCCGAGCCCGTGGCTGGCCCTTCGCAGCCTCGTCGACAAGCTCGCGCTCAGGCTGTGCAGCAAGAACCACGCCCGAAGCCAGGTGCGGACGCCTCTTCTACTGAAGAAACTGGCACGTCTGTCCCTCAGAGAGCGAAGCCCAAACCACGTGCCAGGGCGAAGCGGGCACAGGCTGCGCAGCCTGAAGCAGTGTTCGCAACTCCGAACACGTCCCGGGATGGAACAGCAGCTGGATTTGGACAGGCAGTCGATAGCCAAAGTCGGGATACTAGCGCGGGTCCTGTTAGTTTGACCATTGAATCGACAGAGACGCAGAGTGGCAACACCGGAACTCGGGTCAAACAGGTAACGGACGGGGCTGTTTCATCGATACCTACGAGGGAGAGCACACAAAAGTCTGAACAACCCAAGCAACGACGAGGGCGGTCACCCAAAGCCGAGAGCAAAACGCCGCGACCCGAACCTGGCGAGCCCGCTGTGAAGAGGCGGCGGATGCGTCAGGTATCACGGTGTGCAATCGAGGGCGGTGACAACGGTCCTCGGGAGGTGCGCCACTCGGAGCATCCTGTCGGTACACCAGATCAAGCCTCGCAGCACGTAGAAGCGCACACCGGCCTCACTCATGATAATCTGGAAGAACCGCCACAAAAAGTCGCAGCTCCGCGGCCGAAAGCACTCAGAGGACGCGCAAAACGCGCCAACCCACCTCAGCCCACTCGCCAATCTGCTCGGCTGAGGAATGTTCGCAGCTAAAGACCAAACATTATTCACCCGCCCCTAGTATTCGCATGCATCCCAGTGTATCACTGCCCAAGCACATCATAATGGCGATAGTATTAGGAAGTTCCATAATCATGGATATGAGGGACCGAGTTTCCACCGCTTCCTCGAGTACGTCGTCGGTTCCCAATTGACTACAGCGCCAAGAATTTCTCCATCTTCGTTATCGGCGTTCTCTTCCGTGGCGAGGAGTAGGTTCTTGAGCGACTCCTGTACAAGACCTGCATTCTTCAGCTTCTTCTCTAGTGATGGCAATGCGGCCTTCTTGGGTGGCGAAGCCTGTGAAAGTTGAGTACTGAGCTAGAGCCTGGGAAGCATGCGGGGGCAGCTTACCGGTGTTCGCAGGTAGGTATGTTTCGGCGGTAATGGCGGGGTATAGTGAGGAAGTAGGCGAAGCGTAGCTGGCATGACAGGCCCCATGCCCTCATCGTCTGATTCCAGAAGTTCCGGGGAAGGGGAACGAGAGGGTGGAGGTATGAGGGTGGGGGGTTCTGGCTCTGAATGCTCTATTATTCGGGTCGTTGAAGGTCCCTGCACTCTTCCACAGATCAGATACACTCACCTTGCCTCCGTTTGCGCGACATCAGCTCGATACGATGCAAGTGCTTAGTCTCTATCCCATAGAACTCCTTGCATGCGTTCATGATATCCGTAGCAATAGGACGCGCTCGGTTCGCGTGGTTGGCATAGTCATGGGCGCGACGGAAGATTTCTTCTACAACTACACTTGCTTAGCACAATGCGCATCAGCATCATAAAGACCAGGGGAACGGACAAGCTGTAGTTTCTTGTTCCAGCCGGCGGAGGGCGGCATGGGAAGCAGAGTTAAATCCTGCGTGTTGCAGCTCTGATGATATAAGCCTCTGCATTGCCTTTGACGCTACATCCTCGGTAACTTCTGCGAGGTCGGGTGCAGCTATTGGTTCCGGTGGTGGCGAGCCAGGCGTTTTCACGGTGGGCGAGTTTAAGCTTGGTGTGTATGGGAATGGTGAGGGCTGGCCCTGGCCTGGTGCAGCCTGCTGGTACTGTGCGGGGTACTGTGTTGACTGTTGTGCATAGCCTTGGTACTGCTGGCTGTAATTGCTGTACGTCTGCGGGGGGTAATAAGCCTGAGCAGACATGGGGGAGACGAGAGAGACGCGGGGTGAGAGAAGCGCTCAAATGCACGTGTCGATCAGTGCTTGGAGTGGATTGGCTAACGCCGCCTCGGAGTAGCACTGACTCTCATGCGGACCCGCGGTTATTCTCTCAAATTCCCCAGGCCTTATCCATATCTCGCCGATAACTCGACGCATCGCTTAGCCCTGTCCCCCCTCCACCCGCGATATTGAACGCCCATCTTCGCTATGACGATCGCACAGACCATGCTACAGACCGCTGCTGAGACGGCCACCCATGAGCGCCCTCCTGCACCAGTCTCAAAGGGCACCTTCAGAGCCCAGCGGCCTGAGATTGTCGGTCCTGACGAGCCAATGCTCCCATTCCCCATCCCCCTTTCTGGAGCCGTGCAGAAGGGATTTGGGAGGGGTGGTAAAGACCTCGGTTGCCCAACTGGTAAGTGTCACTTAACTTCACATTCCTTGTGATGCTAGCGGATGGCTTCGTTACAGCCAATCTTCCCGATGAATCCTTGCCCGCCATGAGCGAGGTCACTCAAACAGGAGTCTACTACGGTTTCGCTCAGGTGCTTCCTATCAGCAACGATGAGAGAGCACTCTCTGGGGAGGAGAGCCAGGTTCATCCGATGGTTATGAGCTTGGGCTGGAATCCATTCTACAAGAATGAAAAATTGACCGCTGTATGCCTTTTCATGTCTTAATTTACATGGCACTAACGTGTTGGCAGGAAATTCATGTCATGTATCCCTTCAAGCGCGACTTTTATGGTCACGAGATGAGGGTGGTTGTTCTGGGTTACATTCGTCCTGAGCTTGATTACGTCTCAAAGGGTGAGTGTAGTTCTTGTACAGCAGATTGACAGCCTAACGTGCCGTTGTGTGTGTAGAAGCATTGATAGAGGATATCGAGACGGACAAGCGGGTTGCACTGAACTGTCTCGCACGACCCGCATATCAGAAGTACCGTGACGACCCGCTCTTTGAAGCCTCGTCATAGCCTTCTGCGATGACATTATCGGGTAGTCTTCAACAATATGCATGATATACTAAGAACGACATTTTTGTACCCTACTACACGGGGATAATATTCCGTTGTATGCTGCTATATCTCCTCGTGTATAGGAGAGAAACACGATACGGGCGAGATGGCCGAGCGGTCTAAGGCGCTAGTTTCAGGCTTACTAGGCAAGTTACTAGTCAGAAATGGCGTGGGTTCGAATCCCACTCTCGTCAGAGATGCGGGTTCAATTCCCGTTCCGCCTAATTTTTGCCCTCCTTTCGGCACACTTTTAACGATTATCGACAAATACAAATTATACAATTGTATAGACTATATAGTATAGAGCAACACTTTGGTGTGCACCGACCGATTTATAGCCTCCACAGGTTTGATGTAACTGGTCAGGTTTATAGCAGTCTTCAAGCCTGCTGCTGCTTTCGGCGCTAGGATTCAGCCTCTTGACCTGAACGACCATCTTCTCGACTAGCCACCATGTATAACGGGATAGGTCTCACAACTCCTCGTGGAAGGTATGCCATAATGTCCCTGCTACTTGAAACTGTTTTTCTAACCTGATTCTAGTGGCACTAATGGCTATGTCGTCCGCAATCTGTCCGTGTTGCGCTCCTACCAGACTCCCGCAGAGCGTGCAGCTGCTTGGGATGCTGCACCTCCGAAGCACCGTGAACCAGATGCAGAGATTCTCGAACATGAGCGGAAACGCAAGGTGGAGGTAAAATGTCTTGAGCTCCAGCTTGAACTTGAAGACAAAGGGTGCGTGGTTGATCGTACACGCTTGCTTTGGCGTTAGTCAAATCTGAGCATTGCCCAGACTCGATGAAGAAAAGATTCAGGAAGAAGTTGATGCTCTGCGCCAGAAGCTGCTTGCGAATCTTAGCAGCATGGAACCCGATATCAGGAGCTTGAAACCGTCAGATCGCCACGGTATCGCTGCCGCAAAAAAGGAGGAGCTCAGTAAAATGGCTCGTGCACTTGGTACGCGGAGTGACTACGCAGAAGGAGAGGCATTTGATAGGGAGAAGCAGGAAGAGCTGAAGATGCGTCGGATGGCTGAACGCGAAGAGCGAGGGAAGCAAAAGGAAGAAGAGCGTGCTAAAGTGCAAGCGCAGAAAGAGAAATGGGAGGTGGAGCGGAGAGAGAGGGAGAGGCTGAGGCGAAGGGAGGAAGACAGGAGGAGGAAGGAGCGCGAAGAAGAAATGAAGAAGAGGGATCGTGGCATGCCCCCGCCTCCGGTGCCAGGTGGCCGGGACAGGGACTACGACAGAGATCATTATGGTAGGCGCAGCCAGAGCCCCCGTCGCGATGCTCATCGTGAGCGGGACCGCGAGTCTCGTCGAGGGCCGCCTTCTTCTCGCTCTCCTACTCCTCCGCCCACTCGTCGCCGCCGTCCATCCTCTCGGTCTGCTTCACCGCCATCTCGCCCACGACGACGCTTCAGCTCTCACTCACCTTCACCGCCGCGGCATCGTCGTTCTGGCTCTGTGGAGCCTCCTTCACGCAGCGCACGTGGTGTGTCACGTTCACCTCCGCCTCCTCCTCGCGGGACGGGTGAGGTCGGACGGGGTGAACATAGTCGTCGTGGCATTCGCGAGATCTCAAGATCTCCTCCGCCGCATCTCCATCAGTCTAGGCGTCGCTCATTCTCAAGATCGCCCTCGCGTTCAAGGTCGCCTATGCACGATGACAGCCGCGACAAAGACAGGCAGACTCGATCGCCTTCCCCTCCTCGCCGTGACGAACGCAGCCCTCGCCGTGGCAGATCTTCTTCCGCGGATTCGTCGATGTCCGTGAGCAGCCGGTCCAGCCGTAGCAGGAGCAGGGATTAAAAGCCGCTGCCGGCTATTCTTCGGACAGTTGTCTTCTCTCCTTTTGTGCTGTTAGTTCCTCGCTGTAGTGTGTATCAGAACTTCGTAGCTCTTCGGGAATGCATTATGGATGCTCGACGTTCTTGCAGCCGTGCTTAGCGTGCGCGCGTGTTAGACGCCACTACTGCCAATAGCAAAACTTCAACCAATCGCCATGACTCACTCTAAAACTCGCCTCAGCACTCGATAGGCACCTTCCGTGCGTGCCTACGCCTTAAAGAGACCGCTGGGTGAGCCAGACCGAAGAGGCACGGATTTCCCCCGTATCATCTACTTACCGCGCTCAGTGCCTGGTTAACGTCCGACAACCACTATGTACTCGCGCAGCCTCACCCGGGTAGCGTTCAAGGTTGGCAAAAGGAGCGGATCGAGCATACGCAGGGTCTCGATGGTTGCACCATACGTATGTACTCCTTGGCGTACCATCCAAGGCACCGACTGACATCGGGCCGTTTGGCCAACAGTCTCTCCCTGAAGCTCCCTGCACCCGCTACACTTCTGTCACTCACTCTGAAGACCCTGCATCCGTCCCAGAGAATGCCCAGACTTTGCTGGACAAAGCCAACGCCTACCTTTTGCCCGTATTCGTTCGCCCGCCTTTTGTGCTGACACACGGCAAGGGTGCATACGTCTGGGACACCCAGGACCGGAAGTATTTGGACTTTTGTGCAGGTATCGCTGTGAATGCACTTGGACACGCAGACGAGGGTGTAGTCAAGGTAAGCTCGTCCTGCCAATCATCTTCATTCTATTTGCATGTACCGCCGGGACGTCAGTGCGCTTTTGCCTCTAGTCAATGCTGTGATTCACACTTTGCGCTAAGTTCTCACGTCCTTGGGAAGTGTTATGGACACGGGGATGTTCTAAACATGAAAACCGTGCTGTTTCTAACTAAACCTGGCTCATTGGTTGCCCTTTTGTTGGACCTGCACTCACGTCCATTCCGCTGCGCAGGTTATGGCAAGTGAGGCTGCCAAACTGTTTCACACGAGCAATGCGTTCCATCACCAGTGGAGTGCAAAGCTTGCCGAGCTGCTGGTAACTCTCACGCAAAAGGAGGGTGGTCTAGGCTGGACGACCGGCACGGCACCGTCCACTTCGGGTGCGAAGGTGTTCTTCTCCAACTCTGGCACAGAAGCCAACGAGGGCGCACTCAAAATCGCTCGGAAAGCTGGCAAGGGACGCTGGGCGGCCAAGCACGGCAAAGAGTGGGAAGATCCTGCGAGTGACAAATTCGAGATCGTCTGTTTCGAGAACGCGTTCCACGGTCGGTCTATGGGTGCGCTCAGCGTGACGACGAACCCCAAGTACCAAAAGCCATTCTCGCCTCTCATTCCGGGTGTCAAGGTTGGGATATTCAATGAGAAGACGCAGCTTGAAAGCTTGATTAGCGAGAAGACATGTGCTGTCATCGTCGAGCCGATCCAGGGCGAGGGAGGGATTCATCTTGCTGACATCGATTTCCTGCGTGCACTCCGGAAGCGATGCGACGAGACCGGCGCGGTGCTGATCTATGATGAAATTCAGGTGAGTACAGCCAGGACTCTTCGCGATGGGCCGTGTTGTCCGAAAAATGCAGAGGTACTGATGAGAGTGGTTATTCCTATTCATAGTGTGGACTGTATAGGACGGGAAAGCTGTGGGCACATTCGGCCATGCCTGTTGAATGTCATCCTGATGTGGTCACAATGGCAAAACCGTTAGCAAACGGTTACCCCGTCGGCGCGGTCCTAATGCGCGACAGCATAGCAGAGGTCATGACAGCTGGTGAGCTCATATCTATGATCTAAGCACATTCAGGGCTCGTGTTGACTTGATCTGATAAGGTACACATGGGACAACCTTTGGAGGCTCACCACTGGCATGCGCCTTGGGCTTCCACGTCTTGTCACGAGTTTCTGAGAAACCGTTCGTGGCACAAATTCAAGAGACAAGCGCGTACCTTTCTGCACGGCTGTCTCAGCTGCCGAAGTGGTTCCCGGAGGTCCTGCAGCCCGGTGTGCGAGGGACGGGTCTCATCCTTGGGCTCGGACTCAGGAACCCTGATCATGCGGGAAAGCTGGTGCAGATGGCGAGAGAACGAGGCGTCCTCATATTGACCGCAGGCAAGGATGCTGTGAGATTCGTTCCCAGCCTGAATGTCGGCCGTGGAGAGGTGGACCTTGCGGTGGATGTGCTCGAGAGCTGCATTGTGACGCTGGACACCGCGTAGAGACGGCTGTACGACGCATGTATCCAGTGCTAGAGGACCCTGTATTATCGCAAAAAAGCCTGCGATATCCCGACTTTTACAGTTTGCGAGCCGTTTGGGCGGAGGCTATCGGCTTTTTGGCAGCCCGAGCCCGCGTTCCGGGTCGGGTGGGCGTGTGGGAAACCGCCTACAACCAATCACCCGCGTTCCATTACACCGGTTTGGGATGTCACGCGCCGGCTTATAAGGGATTTCCATAAGAGGAGTCGGTCTGACCATACTTTTCACGCGTCTTCCCCCTCTCCGTGTCCACTGTCTTGCTCGTCGTTCGCAATGATGGAAAGACTCGGCGGCCTAGCAAAATTCAAGTCCTCGTGCCCCTTCCTTGCTCGCACCAAGTCGACCACCCTCCGCACCCTATGCACCAAAGCGTCGCCCCGCTACCCGACGCTTTCCAAGCTGACCGTTAAGGCAACGGGCTGCCCCGTCATGGGTCCTGCCCTCCAGATGCGGTCTGGCCAGATCGTCGCTGGCTATGCCAGCGTTGCCGGCAGCGCCGACTTCACCAAGATCCACCAGAACAAGGGCGTCGACACAACCTCCGCCGATATTGCGATGTGCCCGCACGCTTCTAAGGCCCTGGCCGCCGCTCGCATGGCGGAGGACCTCGCGAGGGCCAAGTCCAAGGCGGACAAGGAGGCGTCGTCGAAGGCATCCACCTCCAAAGCGAACGCCGGGTGTCCCTTCCACACCGCGTCCGCAGAGAGTGCGCGCAAGGCCCCCACCCCGGGTGGCTTCGATTATGAAAGGTTCTACGTGGAGGAGTTGGAGAAGAAGCATCAGGACGCGTCTTACCGCTACTTTAACAACATTAACCGCAAGGCCGACAAGTTCCCCATCGCGCACACCGGGAACGTGAGGGAGGAGGTGGAGGTGTGGTGTGCTAACGATTATCTTGGCATGGGGAATAATCCAGTTGTATTGGAGACCATGCAGTACGTGTTCCCGCGTTTCACATGCAGAATTTAGGAACTCATGTGTTATTCTTTTTTTTTAGCCGCACTCTTGACAAGTACGGACACGGTGCCGGTGGAACGAGAAACATTGCCGGTAACACGGGTATGCATCTGGCGCTCGAGGAAGAACTTGCGCAACTCCATCGCAAGCCCTCCGCACTTGTCTTCTCGTCGTGCTATGTCGCGAACGATGCCGCCTTGACGACGCTGGGCTCCAAGCTGCCTGGCTGTGTCTATTTTTCCGACTCGATGAATCATGCGTCGATGATTGTTGGGATGAAACATTCGGGTGCTAAGCGCGTCATTTTCAAACACAACGACCTGGAAGACCTCGAGGCGAAGCTCGCCTCGTATCCCAAAGAGACCCCGAAAATCATCGCGTTCGAGAGCGTCTACTCCATGTGCGGCACCATCGGTCCTATCGCCGAAATCTGTGATCTTGCCGAGAGATACGGTGCTTTGACATTCTTGGACGAGGTGCACGCCGTTGGTCTCTACGGCCCTCACGGTGCTGGAGTCGCTGAGCACCTTGACTGGGAGGCGCAAAAGGCCCAAGGCATGAATCCCGAGCCGATCAAGGGTTCAGTCATGGATCGCGTCGACATCATCACTGGTAAGTCTAAATAGTAACGCCCGTGCCGATCCTCCCCGTGCTAACGCACCGCCTCTTCCGCAGGTACACTTGGCAAAGCTTACGGCGCTGTTGGCGGCTACATTGCGGGCTCTACCGACATGGTCGACATGGTTAGATCCTATGCTTCAGGCTTTATCTTCACAACATCGCTTCCACCCGTGAACATGTCCGGTGCTCGTGCCAGCATCTCCTACCAGCGTCACTTCACCGGTGACCGTCAGCTGAAGCAGATCAACGTCCGTGACTTGAAGTCTCGATTTGAGGCTCTCGACATTCCTGTCATCCCCGGCCCTTCCCACATCGTTCCTGTCCTCGTCGGTGACCCGGTCCTTACCAAGCAGGCATCAGACACGCTACTTGCCAAGCACCGCGTCTACGTCCAGGCGATCAACTACCCCACTGTCGCCCGTGGCGAGGAGCGTCTCCGGTTCACTGTCACCCCCGGCCACACTGTCGAGCAGATCGCCAGACTCGCTACCGCTGTCGACAGCACGTTCAAGGAGCTCAACATCAAACGCACTACGGACTGGAATGCTCTTGGAGGCCACGCCAACGTTGGCATGCTGGATGCTCGGCCTATCGAGCCCATCTGGACTGACGAGCAGATCGGTTTGATCGACGGCACGGCACCCAAGACGTTGAAGACTGGTCAGAGGCGGGTTGTGGATCAGAAGGCCATTCAGGTTACGCGCAAGAAGTTTAACGACTTGCTCGGTCCCTACATCGAGCCTTCTAAGGCGTCGTTCGCCAACCCCGTCTCGCTCGAGATCCCCACTGCCTCTCTCCATACTCCCACCCCCGTTGCTGCTTCTGCTTGAGAGCTAGCAGATGACTCGTAGACGATTCGTCCTGCATAGCTTAACTTCCGTCGAACTGTCTCTGCTAAAGATATGTCATTCAGATAGTGTGTAGCCCAGCGAAGAACTGGAAGTGCCGAGTCATCACGGCGTAGGAATTTGCAACGATGATTGATTCGACGCGTTGTACAATGTCTCCCACGTGTGTTGGACAGTCAGAACCGTTTGTCGAGAAGACTGCAGGGAAACTGGCGCTCGAGGCGCGCTCACGTGAGAATAATATGCAGTAGACGCGGCCGAGTCTGTCATGCTTCGGCCCTCGACTTTCTTTCTTTACTCCACTCACTTTTCTTAATGATGCTGCCCTCATCGCCGCCTTCGCCATCCAGGCCTGTGCTTATCAACCGGACCAATGCAGATGCCCAAGGAGACCGAGAGCAGTGTCGAAACGCTCCGTTGGCCTTGCCACAAGATCGCAAACGGGCACCCGCTGCAGACGACTGTTCACAGAGCTCGAGAAAACGCGTCAAATTGGACATCAATGAGGAAAGCGACGCTGTCAGTCCTCAGGGCGCGTGCTCGAGCGAAGTCAGTCTGACTGTGCCCGCACGTCGCGCACATTGGGGCGCGAATGTATGCGGATTGCGGAGCGCAGCGATGAGGATGGGTACGGGATCGCTCGCTCGGTTGTCTTACCGTATGTTGCATTGATTCGCCCTGCTCCAGTATATTTAACCTCTTTACACAGTTCCGACGCGTTCACTACTCCAGTCGTTCGTCTCGTCGGACAAAAGCGATGTATTCAAATGCCACTCTGCGTGGGACACTCTACGCGTCAACCTGCCGTATGCATGTGCATATTCGCACGCCGCAAAGGACGGGAGAGATGCTTTGCTAGCTGTATCGACAGAGCAGGGCGCCGTAGACATCTTGAACACGACCAAACGGCAAGAGTGGGACGTTGGTGAGTGCGACGCGGTGATTGCCAGCATTTGCTCATCCTCAACATGGAACGTCCTTCTTACAGAGCCACAACGATCCACATTCCATCCCCATAGCAACGCCATCTTCGACTTTCAGTGGTCCCGCTCAGACGAGCTGCTAGCCACCGCAGCAGCCGACAAGACCGTTGCCGTGTCAAAACTGACGCCTCACGGCGGGCAGGTCGTGCGCTCGCTTCAGCACCACTCGAGTACTGTCAAGTGTCTGTCGTGGGATCCAAGTCGGGATGGCGACATCCTGTGCTCAGGTAGCCGAGACGGAACGATATACGTCTGGGACTTGCGGGAGGCCGACAGGGCGAAGCCCTGTATGCAGGTGTCGAAGGCACACGATACAGGCAAGCCGGCAGGACGAAAGGGCAAGCTATGCGGGCCACCTGCGAGAGGCGTGACCAGTTTGCTGTTCTCGGGTGTGCACGAGTACGGGCTAATCAGTGGCGGGTCGTATGATGGGTACGTCTCCTGGAACGCTGCAGCATGGATTTTCTACTGACAGAACCGTAGTATCTTGCGTCAGTGGGATCTGCGTTACATTGACAGCAAGAGACGGACAAAAGATCCGAGTAAGACCACTACCGCCAAGTGCACGTATATTTCCTCGGAGGATCCGACGACCTACAATGGCACGCGCCGTGCGCGTGGCATAACCAGCATTACTCCCGGCTCAGGACCATCTCGCGGCCTGCTCTTCGCACTGGCCAACGACTCGAGAGTGCACACCTACGACCTTGGCTCGCTAGAGCCACTCTCGGGGCACACGAGCGACGCTAACACGGACATTTGGTCGTACGGCCACGAAAGCATGCGCACGAACTCGTTTTACGTCCGTGCCGCAGTCTCGCCGTGCGGACGCTGGCTCGCGAGCGGCGCTGCAGAGAAGGGGAGCGTCTTCCTGTTTGACGTGTCCTGCAGTGAGCGGGAGAGGATGACGGCCGCACGGTCCGGCGATCCAAGTGTGAGCGCAAGGTTGAGAGGAGTGGAGCTGCGAGGACAGAAAGGAGAGGTCGGGGCCGTGGATTGGGCGCAAGGGATGCTCGCGACGTGCGCTGACGACGGGACGGTACGCATCTGGCGACCAGACCCCGAGATCTCGGGGCGTTGCGAAGATGAGCCCGAGGAGATGCGATGGAATTGGAGTTGGGCTGTTGGGCGATGATCTTTATATCTTGCACATACGTCTTACACTATCATCTAGCGGGCTAATTAGATTTTTGCTGTAGAGTTCACACCAAGACGGACTAGACCAGAGTGATAAAATAAGTAGAAGCAACTATGTTAATGATGTACAAACAGGGTATGTAATCGCAAGGCTGAAAGCGTCCCGGTTGAATACGTGGAAGGCGAGAGGTACAAAAGAGAGCCAAGCGGCGAAGACGAAGGTTTCTACTTCTTTTGAATCGCATTAACAAGCCTATATACACAGATTAGTCATGCAGGACGTCGAAGATGAACATGCGACGCACCAATCCAAACCTTCCTCTAAGCCCTCCCCTTTCGTAGCGCAGCTGCCCCTAACACTCCATTCGCGTCCCTTCTCGCCACCGGCCAAGCCCAGCTTTTCGCTGATCACTTCCGGTTTTAGTGCATCCTCGACATCCTGTTTGTTGCAGAACACCAAGAGAGGCACGCCGGCGAGTTCATCTTCGGAAAGCATCGTTAGGAGCTCTGAACGAGAAGTATCTATGCGATCGTGGTCGGAAGAATCGATGACATAGATGATTGCGGAGGTATTGGGAAAGTAGCATCGCCAGTAAGGTCTATAACGAGTTTGCATAATATTAGCGTGAGCAGATATGGCAGGAAGAGGCACAACGATAGATTGATGACGACGTACCGTATACTTGACTGCCCTCCAAGATCCCACACTTGAAACTTGATGTTCTTATACTATGCAAACTTTCAGTCCATGCCCAGACGACAAGATAATGCGCGTGACAGACCTCAACAGTCTCGACGTTGAAGCCGATTGCTAAACATGCAATGTGTCACTTACACGTCAGCCATCGCGTAACAAGAGACATACTCGGTATTGTAGAAACTACTTCGCCAATCTAGGGAGTCCCCATGAGCATCAGGAGCGTACAGCGTTGCTGTGTCTTGCGCGTGACCTGGACAGCAAACATACCTGCAAGCGATATAGAATTGTTGTCTGCGAACCGAAGTGTCAGCTCAAGCTCTGCAGGACTGCCAGTTTGGCAGGCCGCATATATGAAGACATGCCTTCCCAGCCGAATCCAGCCCAAGCATCAATATTCGGACGTCCTTGTCCTTGCTCCACCAGGCGAGAGATTGGAGAGAACCCATGAGTGACGAGATGGAGAGGCCCATTGTCTGAGTGCGGGAAGGCCGGAGCGAGCGCAGAGGCTGACAAGCTAGAAGTTCGGAGGTACAGTAGTCGACGTGTAAATGATCAAAGTGGTGAGAGAGAAAGAAAAGGTGACCAATGTCAGAGACACGGCTCTTGAAGCAGACGGACGGCAAAAATCTGAAAAGCGCTGAGACGACCGACCACACATCCTCCCACACATTCTCGATCACCACACCCGAGCCTGGACAGTGCCGGGTTCAAATTCCCTGGAGCGTCGACTACTTTAATTCGCTTCCGTGGGGCTCGCCTGCCAGACGACAATCATGGGTATAGCTGTCGTAGAAACTTCGCAGCAGAAGAGCAAAAAAAGCAGCAGGGATAAGACCGTGGACATCCCAGTGGCAATAGAAGCAGGGCCAAGCAATGCCGAGGACGAGGGCAAGGAGAAGAAGGGCAAGAAGAAACGGCGCGTCGACGAAGGTGTTGCAGATGGGGAACTGGACAACACACGAGTATTTGCAGAGGGAAACATAGCAGACATTACGCGGCAAGAGAAGAAGAAGCGAAGGTCCGAGCGTAAGGACGGCGAGGAAGATGCTACAACGAATGTAGAAGTAGACATGGCCGAAGGTGGAGGGGAAAAGAAGAGAAAGAAGGATAAGAAGGGGAAGGAACGCGAGGAGGCTGAGATGACCGTAGCGACTACTTCAGAGGACAAAGAGGAGGGCGCCAGCAAAAAGAAGAGCAAGAAGCGGAAAACCAGAAAGGAGGATAACTCCCAGGAGATCGCAGAGGAGGAGGCCAAGCCGAAGAAAAAGCGGAAACGGAGCAGCTCTGGCTTCCCCGATCCCGGGGAGGACGACTCGCTCTCAGACCAGGCGAGAAAAGGTGCGTCCATTTCCTCCTTCCTTGTGCCGGGGCACTCTGACGCGTTACTTTGATATAGCTTTGTCCTACGCTTACCTGCAGGCAGAGGAACCCTTGAGCTGGAAGTTCAATAAAGCTCGGCAGAATTGGCTTCTGCGCAATGTATGGTCGGCAGAGGCAGTATGTCTCTCGTTCTTGCATCATTTTCATCAGCTAAATGAACAGCGACACGTAGATACCTGACACCTATGTTTCGTTGACGAAGAAGTACTTATCTAGTGTGCAAGGTGGCGTCCGCGAGGTGAGCGAGTTTCGTGGGCTTTTGCATTATCCACTCTCACACCTCTCGCAGACACTAATCAAAACTTGTCACGACGTTCTCGCGGAGAAGCCCCAGGAGGAGGCAAAGCCGCAAATCGCTGCGGAACTTGCGCCCGTTGAGTCGGAGGATAAGCCTGCTGTAAAGACAAATGCCAAGGTCAAATTCGACGTTCCAACGGAAATCTTCAAAGCGTCCATTACGCTACAATCGAAGCAGCAGAGAGCACAAGAACTTCTCGAAGTCTTTACGAGCGAGAAGGCATCATGACTCTGGGGGAGGCGTTGGAGGATTCACGTGAGGGCATACGTCCGCAAGCTGGTATCACTGCTAACCTCCGGTGCAGTATCGCGAGTATGAATGAATTCGTTCTGTGTATCGATTTCTACACACTGCAGGTCGCGTGATTACAGTCTGTTGAGGCTGAGCGCTGAGCGCTGAGTCTCGACAACATAAATCTAAAGGATCACTTGACTCACTTGGTAGTATGCGGGTTAGTAGCCCAATAGCGTGGGCTGTATCAACCATTCAGCAGACCCACTCACCACGTCTGCCCGGCGGCCCTTGCTAGAACAGAATTATAGATTTCTATCCACCGTGGCTCACAATCCGCTGTCTTATCCCAAGTACAATATACAGAAGCATGCTGACTTCGCGAAGATTATGGCTCTCTTGCCCGCTCAGTGAAGGTCATCAAGAAGCTGCTGCGCGGCAATCCGGGAGGGGCCACCCTCCTTCCACTGCTCGCTCGACATGTTCTTCAGCTTCTGTGTATTGGCCCGCTTCTCGGCACCATCCTCGCTGAACGCCTTATCTAGCACCGCATTTGCCTCCGCACGGACGGCGTCGAGCGTGGCCGTCGGCGCCTTGCCCGTGCGGTAGACGGGCTTGAGGCCCCAGCTGCCGCTGCGCACCTCGGTGAGCTCGTACGCGACGCCGAGATTCTCGGTAAGTAGCAGTGTATCCACCGGCTGGTCAGCGCTGAAGGGCCAGCAGATCCTGAAGGTGCATTCATGTTAGCATTTGCATGTTCAGGCACGGAACCTCAACGGCGCACATTGGGACTCCTGCGGCGATAGACTCGGTAATGCTGTTGAAGCCACCATGGGTCATGAACCACCCGGTAACCTAGTAGAGATATCAGTGTATCGTCAATTTTCGGCTAGTACGTATGCTTACAGAGTGCTCCAGTATCGTCTGCTGAGGGGCCCATGTTGTGAGGAAGCCCAGGCTCGAAGCCTTGACTTTCTCAACAATTTCATCGGGAACTTTAGCGAATGGGGAAGCGTGGCTCAAAATCTGAAAGGGAGTGATCAAACGAGAGCACTGCAGCGGCAGTACGAGCTTCACTGACGAAAGGGATCTTCTTCTCCATCAGGACATCCAGCACAGTCCATAGCCTATCCGGCTGTGTGCTCCAGAAGAAAGTGCCGAAAGAGATCTGTCGTGCCATGACATCTGTGTAAGCCCTTTCAGTGTTGCCCCAAACTGCAACTTACGTATATGAGTGATTTCTCGCCATGCGTCTTCAGGGCATTCTGCATGAACTCGAGAAGCTCGGGCGACTTGGCGGCTCCCTCTGTTTCGAGTCTGGAAGAGCGCTTCGTGTCGGATATCAGAGGACCGACCAGATACATCTTTCGAGACGTCAGCGCGAAGAAATCGTTGAGGGCTTTGATGCATTCTTTCGGCTCGTAGATGGCTGAGGTTGAACTGACAAGGGCGTCGCACTCATGAATCAACCTGTCGGAACGCTGCTTAGAAGAATGTTCCGTGGATACCGGGAAAGACCACAGACGATGCACCATCCAGGTGAAAAAGGCCGACAAAGGGTGACTCGACGATGCGCTGGAGGAGACGGGCTCAGCTCTGGTAGTACTCGGTTTCAGAAGGCTATATACCTCCTGAGGGAAGCTCTCGTACTTGAACACCGGCGGAAGACCCGGCACCTGGTCGACCTGGTCGCTGGGGCTGGCGACGACCTGCAAAAAAGTTGAGAGGCTAGAGCCGGAGACTGGACCGATATCTAGCTATGAAAACTCACCTCCAGCGCGGCAGACATCAGATCCTGCCCAGTTGCAGCCATGTGCTGTGCCACTAGTCTCTGCAGGTGTCCGCGACTATCTGGTCCGAAGGGTCCAAAGAGCGAGCAGAGGGCGATACCAAAGAAGGATCCTGAGGCCCATACTTTTGTGTCTGGGCTAAGGCGTCGCGCAATCTGCAGTAATTGGTAACCACCGAATAGCTGCCAACAAATGTCATTGTTGCAACACGCCACTCTTTCCGGCTCAATACTCACGTCTACCAAGAGAACATCTGGGCGTTTCAAAGTAGCAAGCTGCTTCTGCTGCTGAGCGCAGAAGACGGGTTCACCGTCGGCGAGCACCCGAAATTGCCGCTCGAAAGATCGCTGAAATTCTGCAAGATCCATTGGGTCTTTCTCATTGTAATCCAGCCCCACTACCCTGTTTCGCCGTCATCACAGCATTAGGCGGTAGAGAAGAGTGCTCACCTTATACGACTTTCGAACTCTTCTTCACCATCTTCGAAATTACGGCTCAGCTCTGCAGTCACCTTGCCGTGAAGGGGACGATCGATCAAGTAAGTGATATGGAGATCCTGTAATTTGACAAGCCTTGCGGACAGCGTACATAAGGGGCGAATGTGACCTTGACAAGAGTAGAAGTCAACAGCAAGGTCAGGGATCGGAAGGAATGAATAGTGGACCCATACCCCACGCGAAGTACGCAGTGATCACAAGATGTGAGGACGGCATGATATGTACGATGCGTGGAGTTGTTTAATCGAGCTTCAGGCCCTTCATATACGAAGCTAGACACGCAGCTGCAGCGGTGCCTGTATCAAGACGGCTATCAGGAGTGTTTGAGCATTGAAACGCTGATGCAAGATGCCGCGTCCCGGAGTGCAGACCTTGCTTGGGGAGAATCGCATTGGCTGGCAAAGTGTTTGGAGCTGTCCAGTCCCTATTGTCATAAGGGGAGATCTTCAACAGGGGAGACCTGCGGAATTATCCTTGCAAACTTGCCCCAATACCGTCCCAATAATCAAAGCGACTGAGCTCGAGTGAGATGTTCGACCACCGGGAAGTACGGCATTTACTGTTATGGAGCTCTAACTTCAGAAAGACAGGCCTCGTATCTGCTTCCGGTTATCCAAGATCGTTCCTGAATGTCTCTCCGATAATAGTAACACCTGAGTTTTGAAACTCGCCGAGTTTCTGAACCCGCGTGACTTCCGGCGCCGTCAGCCCAGTCACCGCACTGTCACAACTGCCAGATGAGCCACTGCTAAATTCCTTTCACACTGGTCATGGCAAGAGCTAGGACTGTCCTTCTGGCTTGTACTGAGCAACAGAGGAAGCATAGAGTGTTGGCTTTGAAGCTTTCACTGCTTGGCTTTATTGCTGTTATTCCCAAGCTAGTCACTTCATTGTGGCAGTGTTACTTTGAAGAGTGCTTCCACATTCTTCACTTTGCCCTTCACCCGCAGTGGAGCAATTGCTTCCACAGCTCCCTGCAGAGTAGCCGCCTTCCAAGAGCTGCCGTCACCAGCTTTGGCACAATGAACAATGAGAAAGTTGAGGGAGGCAAGCTCCTCAGCAAATACCCATTGAGAAGATTCAGTAGACCCCCCAGAAGCTGACTGAGGGGTAGTAGCAGCAGCTCGGCGGGTCGTATGAAGAGGAATAGTGCGACGAAGGTGCTGTCACCCAATTGCGCGACACAACAAGGGCAAAGGCTTCACGGTTGTCACACACAATCACAAACGGTCAGGTCAAAGTCACATAAGCGCTTGGGTCTGAGTTCATCAACCCGCGCGAGTTTGGAAACTCGGGTGTTACTGAACAGGGCCTTATCAAAGTGTTGGTCGCCGGACTGCAGGCCATACGCCACGTGGTCGCCACAAAGGCATCCGAATATAGAAAGATGAACATTCCGAAAAAAAAAGAAAAAAAGAAAAAAAGAGAGTTTGTAAAACATCTGTGACAATTTGCTAAACAACTTTCTATGCGAAGCTGATATGTGCCTCGAGGCCTCAAGGAGCCTCAAGACTATCGATGAAAGCCACATTCGCCGGCCGCAGCACGGTCGCTCTCGCTCGTGCCGGTGCATCCGAGTCTCCAAGGAGGGTCGTACTTGAGGAGAAAGCACGCAAGGAGGAGGCAACTTGGCCCAAAGTCATCTGCAGGGCCATCAACGAGGCCCTCGAGGACGAAGACTGCCATTTCAAACCACATCACGGACTCGTTATGCGTCCTCCATGCTGAATAATGAGCGGATTGGTCAGCATAAGTAAGTAATGCCAAGCGCTCCCAGATCTTTCCGCACCTACAGCGAAATGAACGAGATTGTATGTGCTAGCAATGCAACAGAGGAGAGGCTTCAAGCTATGAGTATCGAGTCGAGAGGCAGGTACAGAAGGGTCTCTCGGACTCTCTCCTCCGTCATGATTGTCTCAACGACCTCCATATGATTAGAAGTAACCTCCATATAATTGGACCACCTAGCCTTAGAAGAAGCGCGTCAGTCTGGAGATAAACGAAGACAGTATTTCCACTTCACAGCATAAAGGTCTGCAGCCCTGGATGAGCGAAGCATTCCCGTGGGCTTTCGCCTTCCATGCCATAAATACGCCACCGGCCGCACTACTGCCTATTAGGGCCCGTCTGCGACGACCGCATCACGAGGACAGCTGACGCGTCTTCCGGCCGCGTCCTGTCACACAAAGGATGCGCAGCTCAGGTCGTATTTGCTCGCCCTTCACACAGCCTCGACTTTACGAGATCTCGGTACACCTGCACGGTCTGTAGACTTCATTTTGCGCATTGCATTCCATTGTTGCCTCAACATCGGCCAGACACGCTGCCGCGATGCCACACATGCCTTGCAAAGGCTAGGTCGAGGGTCGGGACGGCAATACAGGCTACACGTCAATTAATGTGCAGTGATGCTGTTCATGAGCGTGATGAAATGCGGGATTCGATTAAAAGGATTCTCTAGCGGCGAGGCTTGCAACCAATCAGTACGCGCGGCGGCGCGGGCAGCCAAGCCCTACAACGGCTGGGCCGCTTCTGCGAGTCCGAACTCCGCACGTCCGGAAGATATATAAAGGCCAGTGGCTTTTGCTGGAGCCTGCAGTCAGCGAACACACACCGCATCTCCTCCAAAGCTTCCCTCAATCTCACCATTAACAATGCAGCTCCTTGCTCTCGCCGTGTCAGCCTTTGCCCTTGCAGGCGCCACTGTTGCTCAGGAGGCTGCACGATTTGGAATTGTTTCCGTTAGCCCAGCCACGGTCAAGCCCGGAGAGGTGCTCACCATACTCCCAAAGCCTCCGTTCGAATGCTAATCGAGCTATCCGTCAGACGTTCACTGTTCACTATAACTCGACGCTCGCGCGCCACCAGCCCGTTTACTACGACGCCTACATCCAAGGCACCTTCTCCAACGGGAACCGCGAGCCCCAGTATCTGCTCCAGAGATTCACGTTCCCGACCGACGGTACCAAGGACGTCTATTTCAACACCACCGTCAGTGTCACTACTACTTCGTTTTGTTCTATCTCATCTGACAAGCCTTCACAGCTCCCGAACATCGAGTACCAGTCTGACTCAACCTACGCGATCTGGGCGATGGTCACGTACCCTGTAAACGACGTTGGTAGCGGTCCTTCCGCGTTGGAGTACGGCGGAGTCTCCTGGCCGATCGGGGTTGACCTGTCCTAAGTCGAATAAGCATAAACTTCTTGGATCCGTTCTCGTACCGAACTGTTGGGCACATACGATACATTGTTGGGAATAATATTTGCTCAGTTGCCAAATAGTGTTTCCATAGAGAAACATACTGTCATCGGTTACCATGTCAAGTTGATGCAAGCATTGTTTGAGTGGTGCGGGTGTCCTGAAGAGCTTCGTGGCGTTGATCCGCGTCAGAGCGCCCGATATTCAAGAAGGATTAAATCAGAAGGGGCTACAAACCAATGAATCGACTTATTTGATACTACAAGCTTAGTCGTGAGTATGGGGAGCGCACAAACTCCAAAAAAAATCACGGAGAGCCCTGACTGGCGGCCCGGGATCTACGTTGTGAGTGAAAACAGGCGAAAACATTGCTAACACCGCAGGTCGCGATAAGTAATTCAATTGTATGCGGCTGTTTTTCGACCGAAAGGACGTGCGTTGACAAGACACGTTCATTCCTAACGTAGCGCCCGCAGGAATGTGTGGACTCAAATTCTCTTGAGAATCGCATCCACGACATCCTGCGTTTTGCTCTTGCCCCCGAGGTCCGGTGTCAACACCTGCCCTTCGCGGATGACCTCATCGACAGCCTTGTCGAGACGGTCTGCCGGCGCGCTGTAGCCAAGATGCCTCAACATGAGCGCAGCCGAGCGGATCGATGCGACAGGGTTTGCGATGCCCTGACCCGCGATATCAGGCGCAGAGCCATGCACGGGCTCACCCATAACAAAGCTGTCGCCGGCATTGACGGATGGTACAAGGCCGAGCGAGCCTACCAGAGCGGCTGCAGCGTCGGAGAGGATGTCACCATAGAGGTTGGGTGCGACCATGACGTCGTAGATGTGCGGCTCGCGGAAGAGGCTGGACACGCGGATTCAGTATTCAGTTCTACAAAAGAAAGAAAAGTTATAGGAAATGCTCACCGGTAGACTGCGCTGTCGACAAGCTGTTCGGCAACCTCAACATCATCGTACTTGCCCTCGTTCAAGCCTGGAACGGAGCGGACGGTCTCACGGAAGAGACCATCCGTTATGCTGAGTACGTTGGACTTATGAATGATTGTGACGTGCTACGAGAAAAATATGATGCTCAGAACTGGACGGGGATCGTGATCGTGTGAATGGCTGACCTTGCGAGGTCTTGCTCTGGCAAGCTCGAAGGCCATTTTCCCGATACGTCTTGATGCACGCTCGGTGATGAGGCGAGTTGCACGAGCTTCACGACCATTTTCTGTGAGTGTGATCTGCTCCTGCTTGACATACTGGAGCACCGATATGATGTTGGATGATGCCGGAGCAAACATAGTGGGATGTATGAGCGTACCAAGCATTCAGTATTTTCGCGAACAACAATGAGGTCGACGTTGGGCTTCTCTTCCGCCGTAGGAGCAACCTGTGCGGAGAGCAGTGAGAGAACGAAGCAGCATAAAGCTAAGCACAAGACTCACAGAAACCACTGGACGGATGTTAGCATAGAGGTCAAGGATTTTGCGAAGTGCCACGATGGGGGAAGAGTAGCCAGTGACACGACGAGACGGTGAGCTACGACGGGCATTAAGTTTCTCCACCCAGTCGAGGATCCCGGCTTGTAATTACCTCACAGCACCAAAGAGAGCACAGTCGCAGTTCTTCAAAGCCCTATGTAGGTTCGGCGTCAGTATGGCGTCTTCTCAGGCCGAAAAATATACTCACGCAACGGTTTCTTCTGGCAAAGCTGTCCCTGTCCGTGTGAAAAGCTCGAAACCTGCGAGCAAATCTACGAATTCTGGCTTGGGGATGTCCGAGCCAAGGGCCTCGATAGCCTGGCGAGCGGCGGGAATGACTTCACGTCCAATGCCATCTGCAGGTACGAGGCCAATTTTGAGAAAAGAGCGGGGAGCGGCCGCCGTGGAAAGAGCGCGACGAAGAGGAAGCCGGAACGCCATTGTCGACCAACGCGATCGAGGGCCAAGGGAGGTTGGTCTTGAGCGTCTAAAGACGCGTGCAGTACTTTGGGGCGGCTGGCTCCGCGTGAAGCAGATACCTGATTGTACGATCCATACGTCGCAAGCCAGATGTTTCTGAGAAGTCATCCAGTACTGGTGGGATTTGCTGTGCGATTCCGCGTTCGTGGATCACACCTGAAGTCTACTATCTCTGCAGAATGGCTCCTACAACGTCCCTTCAGTTCTATCCTTGTGAATCTCGAGACCAGGTAAGGCGAGATGGCCGAGCGGTCTAAGGCGCTAGTTTCAGGCTTATTGAGCAAGTTACTAGTCAGAAATGGCGTGGGTTCGAATCCCACTCTCGTCAGAGATGCGGGTTCAATTCCCGTTCCGCTTTAACTTTTGGTTTTCGCTTGGAATGGTAGCTTCGATAGGCAGCCGGCTATATGTTTGTCTTTATGCAGGTTGGCAGCACAGAAATCAAGCAGGTATATATATACAGTTCCTCCGGTACATGTACTAAGTCCTCCGCCTCTTGGAGTCCCATACTTCGTCGTTGTCTCGTTCCCTCTTCGCACTATTGCTGCGTTCTGATTCTCTCCTCATTCGCTCCCTTAAATCTTGCGTACGAGACTCACTGGACTGTGCTAAGCTCGCGGCGGACGGTCGTGGGAAAGAGACGCCTCGGACCTCGCTTTGCACTGGTCCCAGTGTTCATGTTAGGGTGGGATCTGATGTGCGACGAGAATCCGGAGGGAAAGAGAGAACTCACGTCTCTGACTTCCGTGAGGGTCTGATCCAAAAGGCTCTGTGTATGATGGCGCACGCGCTGGTGCGGAACTCGGCTGTCTGTCTCGGTGAAACGACCATGACTCCATCCCCGTGTCAGGCCTCATGCTCCGTCTCTCATCTAGATGTAATATAGCCTCATCAGAAACTATTCACTTAATCGAGTAGTCCACGCACAGGCTTGCTGAGTTCCACGTCCTGAACTGCCACGATCGTCCCCTAGGGAGCGATGAGTGCATGCATAAGCCAATGGGCCAGGACAGATGCCTCACTTCGATGGCTCAGATTCCTGTCGAGAGGTTCAGGCTTGATTGTTCGCTTTCGCTGCAGCTCCTGCTGGAACGCTAGCACAGCAGAGCTGGGGGCTGAAGATTTTAATTTGGTCAATTTTTGCCCAGAGGGAATAAACGCTGAGTGGTACCTGCTTGTGGGTGTGGCGAAACGGCAGCTATTCCATGCGATGAGAATTTGTACATAGCTTACGCCGCTGAGGAGCTCACCCTCCTGAATTCTCAAGTTTTGATAATCGTTAAACTCCGCGATCAGCTCTGCACTGGGTTTGTGGGGTTCGCCTTTCATAGGCCGCTCCTCCTTCGTGGCCGTTGCGCTCCGGGTTTGCTGGTACTCCTGGAACTCTCGTATCAGCTCGGCACTCGGTTCGCTTTTTGTGGTACGAAGCCTCTGGATTTCTTGCAGCTCTGCAAACTCCCGTTTGAGTTCGTCACTGGGTCCCCAAGGGTCGGCCTTGATGGAAGGGTGAGCAGCCTCGTGTTTCATTGCTGTACCGAGTTGGGGAAGGCGAGATTCTGTAGGTTCAGCCTTGAGGAAGCTCGCGGCAGCCTCATCTACAGGGAGTCATGTCTACTTTTCCGAGTAGAATCACTCAAGACCAACCTTGTTCGTAAGGGTCGAACTTGCTATTGTCGAAAAGGTTGACTGATTGAGAGTTAAACGTATGTCACAAGCTACGTTGAATGGTCCAGAACATACCTCCGGTTTGTTGTCGGGTATCAGGTGTGGACTCTGCGGCCGGTGTATTGGGTGGCTTGCGTTGACGTGCGGCAACCGGCTCCGCCGTTGGGCTCCGAGTAGATGATAATAATGGCTCGTCGGGTCGTGCTGGGTGCTCTTGGCCTGCTGCTCGACGTGGCTCTGGTTCTTCTTCGACTTTTGGTGCCATTGCATAGGCAAAAGAGTACAAAGACCCCGCCCGAGACTGCCCCGTCTACATAGAGCGAGCAGTTAATTACTGTGCGAACGTGAGTCGATTACCTGAATTGCACCTGCGTGGCAGAGTCGGGTAATGCAATTCTGGGTTTCAATGGATGTACTTCTGCTTGCGGCTCAGGATCTGCTGCCTCTTCACGTGGTCTCGGTATAGGAAGTGCAAGGTCTGCGCACGACAGCCTGTGCGGCTCAGCAAAAGTAGGCGGGAAGTACGGCTGCTTGAACGGCACTCTGCCAGCCCAGCGTCGAGGGTCGTCTAGATCAATTTCGTGGATGGCCCATTGATCTAGATAGTAGATCGGCTAGGGCGGAAGAAGCCATCAACGTATGAAGACCTACGGTTCTCAGGATGTCCCTCTTTGCGGTAGTTGAAAGCGAAGATCTGAGAGAGCTCCCGCTCCGCGTCAGACTTCTTGAGAAAATTAGGCCAATAATGAGCACCCAGTAATGGTTTGATGTCAACATCTTGTGAGAACTTGACAACGAGGTCGGCCCTCTATGGCACAAGCAAGAGGTCAGCATGCTTGGAGCCTTATAGTGCCACAGGAGGGTTAGTGTTCGCAATCGGATTTCATGCTATTCTCTTTTTTCTAGTTTACTAGAGTGGCCAGAGTCGATCTGACGTACCGTGTTGCGACTATATATCGTCTCAGGGTACGCTGCTTTGTTCAGAGCGTACCTCATCCATGCACCAACTTCCTGATAGTATGCATCATCTCGGGCACCACCGAACTTGCCATTTGGCCATGGATTTTCGATAACGATGTATCTACATCCCGGGTCATCGAGATAGGGTGGGCCCTTCTTCTTCGGCATGAGCAGTGTCAGCGAGCGTAAACTGGTCTGTGATATAATAGCATATCCTGCATGAAAAAGAGAGACGCTATAGTCTGAGTATCACATACCCGTAAATTATGGAGGAAAATAGCAGGAAAAGAGGTGGTGGAAAGCAGATCGTTCGACCTCAAGGTCAAGGGTCGCGTGACGCGTCCCACGAGATTAAGCGCATAGTAATCGCCTCAAACACTGGTAACCAATAAGAAGGGAAGCTGCTACAGCCGCAGGTCAATTCATAATCTATAATACTTCTACACGCAGCGATACCCATGAAATTTTTGAAGAAGACAATTACGCTAGATCCTGAGTCAAGACGTAGCGGTACCTCACTTCGTTGCTACCCATTCCCTCGAGAGCTTTCTTCGCATCTTTCATCGGCAACTCCTCGATCCAGGGCTTAATGCCCTTCTCTGCAGCGAGCTTTAGCATTTGCATGCACTCTTTCTTGCTGCCAATGGCGGAGCCTCCCACGTAGTAGCCGTTCGGAACGAGATCGAAGGCATGCAACGTAGGGAGAGGTTCGTCCTTGTCCGGCAAACCGACAGTGACAAAACGGCCATGGACGTAGAGCATAGAGAGGAACTGTTTGATCGGAAGTTGAGGTGTGGAGTCCATGGTGGACACAATGAGGTCGAGCGAATGTGCGTGCGGCTTGGCGAAATCCTAGCGGAGACGGGGAGGTCAGGGTCAGAATGTACCCATAGCGACAAGGACTCAAGCAAGCTGTGACATACCTCGTTGTTGGTGTCTATGACGTAATCTGCACCTAGTTTCTTAGCGTCTTCCATCTTGTCTGGCGAATGGGTGAACGCCCAGACTTCCGCGCCAAGCGCCTTAGCGAACAGAATAGCGTAGTGTCCGAGACCACCAATCCCAATGACCCCGACTTTTTTTCCAGGACCGGTGTCGTTGGTCACAAGAGGCGAAAAGACGGTAAGACCACCACAAAGCATAGATGCGGCATAGCGAGACTCGATGCCGTCGGGGATGGGAAAGACGAATTGCTGGTGAGCGCGAATGGCGGTCGAGTATCCTCCTTGTGTGACAATGCCATCAGGGTACACCGAATTCTGAATACGGCAGTCAATGCATGCGTACAGAGCAGCGCATATAGTTAGCCATGACCTACATAAGTGGAGACACCTTTCGGGCAGTAGTTCTCCATCCCGTCTTTGCACTGCTTACACTGCATGCAACTGCCAATCTTTGCACCAACGCCGACGCGATCGCCAACTTTTATGTCTTTGACGTTGTCGCCTACTCTAACGGCATGGCCAACGATCTCATGGCCAACGACTAGTGGCAGCTTGCTCTCACCCCACCCCTGCTTGAGCGTGTGGAGATCTGAACCGCAAACACCGCAGTGGGTGATCGTGATCTCGACGTCTTCAGTGGTGAATTTCTTCGGTTCAAAGGTGGTGACCTCCAAGTCGGTGAAGCGCTTAGAGTCTACGCAAGAACGACCAGTTAACTTTTGACGTAAGGCGCGCATGCAGCGGAACACTAACCGACGAGGGCATAGCCCTTAAACTCAGGGTGGTCATTGGCCATAGAGGTTACTAGGTGAGCAAGAAGAAGACGACGGAGAGAACTGGAACACTAAGGAAGGCTCTACTTGTCGTTTCCGCTTTTTATAGGGGGGACGAACGACAGATCGTGCTCTTCGTGAAGCCACAGTGACATTGATGACGACAACGTCCACTGGCAGCCAATCGAGCGATTACGTCGATTGGCAAAGTGCGTAGGCCAGTTTCTTGGCACATACTCTATGGGGGATCGAATCTTGAGCGGGAAAGCGAAATAACTTAACAGTTTGCAGACATTACAGAACGCTACAAGGTATGGCATCTGACCATGTTAGATTAAAGCCTGTGTCGGCTGGAGATCTAGATTACACTCAGACTCAGTAGAAATTATACAATAGACGAGGACAAATGAGCGCGTGTCCGTGAACATACGATGCACAGACTGGTTAATGCAAGGGTCACGTCCTAAAGTCCCCGTGAGGGTATCTACATGAAGAGGCATATGCCACTCTATGCGCGCAAGTCGCGGTCTAGCTCTTTGATTAACAGATCGTTAGTAGCCTTGGGGTTATCGAGATAGACTACAAACGTGATACGTGTCAGGTCAAGAGAACGGACACGATAGGGTAGACATACGGTGGTGTCCGGCGTGTGGGACGATGTACATCCTGCCTTGACCATTGCCTGACTTGCGGAGGTTCTCAACAGATTTAGCACCGCCCTCGGGATCCATCCAGTCGTTATCGCCGTCTGAGAAACATGTCAGCTAACGCAACACACCGCATGAATGAACAAACACCCACAGATGAAGGTGACAGGGATCTTGAGATCGTGAACTCGATCGACCATAGGTCGTCGCGCATGTGCTCCCGGAGCCAGTAGGTGGGCTATCGAGTGTTAATTACACTGCACGACTCAAACAACTGGGACAGCTTACAGATGCAGTATTCACCAGAGCCTTTCATCAGGGTAATGTTGAGTATATACTCATGCATCGCTCGGGTATCCTCCATACCCAAGCCAATGAAACGTCGGCTGGAATACTTCCCGACAAGCAATGGACCCCAAAGTCCTGTGGCACGAACAACTTGGAATGGACTCCAGCCTTCCTCCCAGAGGTAGGTGAACAACTTCCTGGAGCGGCTCTCCTTGCGCTGTTCAGCTCGCTGACCAGACCGCATGGATTTCACGTCCTCCGCGCTCGCTGGTTCCGCGTGGTCGTCGTCCCCAGAGACTTGCAAGTCGGCGACTTCCCTCGAGTACACAGTCGTGTTCGGATCTCGCGGTATGCCGGCAGGCGAGAGCAAGATGAGCTTGCTCACACGAGTCGGATGCTTCAGAGCGTACGCAATGCTCAAGTATCCGCCTAACGAGTGCCCGATGAGGGTCATGCGCTCAAGTCCCATCTTCTGCCGCCACTCCTCCAGGGAATCGATGAAGAACGACTCTGCCTCGGCCACGCGCCCATCGATATCGTCGCGCTTTGCCTTGACAGCAAAGGGCACTCGAGCAGATCTCCCCATCCCGAGCCAGTCTACCGCGAAGACCGAGGTGCGCCGCCTGCCTGCCCAGTCGCCTAAGACAGGAAAGTTCTGGAAGAAGAAGCCGAGGCCGGCACCGTACCCATGCAGGACAACAGCCGGCGGGGGAGCTGAGGGTGAGGCGGCGTTCGGAGTTATAGAGAACGTGTTGATGTGGTGTTTCGGATTGCTGAGTTCCACCCGAGTACTTGTGGCAACAACAGGATGATTAGCAGATGTTGGCGTCGCAGATTCCGTCGAACGGAAGTAGGGCAGCTTCCTGTGCATATGTCGCCCAGTGAGCTGGAACTGTTCTCTTGCGATGCACGTGCGTACCTCAGTAGTCTCTCTTCACTTGCGGCACTCTCCCTCTCCCCCGCAGACCACCTGAACAGTGCACCAGTCAGGCCTGCGCCTAGGCCATCGAGACATTACTCACCAGCTCTTCACACTGGACAAAAACGTCGAAGGAATATCCTTTGCCGGAGGTAACGGTAGCGGCATGGCATCAGACACCACCGCCGCTTCCGCCTCGGTCATCGTGGACGCCGCAGTAGCCATACGTATAGCTGAAGTAAATCGAAAGAGCTGTCGTGAAGCTATGGTCTCTATAGTTCTAGTGAAAGTGTCGTCGGTGGGTATACAGGTAGTGGATTAGGTTGAAGGGTCTTTATTGCCCGCCTGCGCAGCCATCTTTTCACCTGCCGCATGCCGGTGCTGGACGTCAGCTCAGCACAAAGCATGGATCGGCCAATGACACATTTCCGATGACAGGCCTTATATCACGTGACAAGATTCACATTTTAATATTGGACGAGCCAGGAAGACGAGAGCAAAGCGAACGTATTGACAGGAGATACGAGCAGAAGAGCTTAAGCGTTGTGTGATAGAATAGAGGGAGGTAGTCTCTATGCGGGGATAATCATTCGAGACAGTGCTTTGCTGAGAGCGACAGCGGTGTTTGGTGCATTGCACAGGTGCAGAAAGTGTTTCCAGTGACTTTGGTTCCAAATGGAATATAGCAAGAGATATTATGGCTACGATGTTGAGCTCAATATGCATGCGGCGAGTGACAGTCGAACCAACTCACGAACCCAGCAACATCCAAGATGTTTATGTCCGGCGAGCTTTCTTCGACCTCGTTCCGCCAATCTTGATATTTGTATTGTCGGTTACTCGCGAAACCAGCGCACGAATATGAGCAGCCTCTGTAGCCAGCAGCGCCTTCTGTACCGCGTCCCGCCCCCGTGCAAATCCGTTGAAGCACACCTCTAACGTCATACTGCCCCCATTCCGCGCAGACTCCTCCTCAATGCGCTTGAACGCCTTGATCGCGCACAGGTGAGCCGCTTCAGCAGTTCCCCGAGCCTTGTGCTTGTAGCCAACCTGGCCGCCGCTCACAGTCATGAGGGGCGAGCCGTCTGGTCGCGTAAACGTGACAATGTTGTTGTTCGGGGTTGTGCGCACGTACAGAAAGTGCGTGTTCCTCTCGCGTGTTGGGGGCACCGCAGTCCTGGCCCGAGAGAGCGGGTTTGGGGCGGCGGACGGATAGGCACTTTCTGGGCCTATTGGAGGTAGATCATCGAGCTCCGAGACTGACTGCTCTGCGGTGTAGTCGTTGAAAGATTGGCTGCCGGGAAGGGATGACATTCGTGCAGCCAGTACTGGCCGACCGGATGAGCGCAGCTGCGGTATTCGAATAGTTTTTAGGAGCGACATCGGGATGAACAGACAGCAGATAGTCGGGTGAGGATGTCTTCCCGTCGTATTGGCGTAACGCGCCGACGCGAAAGACGAAGTTGAGGAAGGCCTGGACACACAAACGCCCGTTGAAACTCCGCCGCGCGAGGTCGTTTACGGAGGGACACGGACATACTCTCATACTACCAGCTACTCGGATTGCTCTCTCGAGTCTCTGCTCAAAAGACAAAATGAGCGTATGTACTGACTAACAGCTATCATTAATATCCGCTTATGCCGACGCCTCCGGGTTTTCTTGTAGCTCGCAAACACTTTCTACAACGCCCTGGTCAAGCGTAACAGTTAGTATTAGAGCCATTCTATCGCAATATTCTCTTCAGCTGTCCTCTCGCCTCACCATTATGTTTCTCATAGGTGTTTACGTTACGACCATCTTTGCCGGCGCGTTCGCGTTCGGTATGGGCTTCGACGTCGGCATCACGAGCTTCTGGGACCGCTGGAACCAGGGCGTACGTACATCGTATTAATTGACTCTACATCGTACTAAGTGGCCTTGACGGGTGTACAGAAACAATGGAAAGATATCCGCGACAAGTATGTCACCAAGGAGGAATAAACATCCGGCCTGCTGAGGCTGCATTCCCGCCTCGACACACGTCCTGTTTACTCTACTTGCATCAATAGACACCGGCCGCATATTCCAGCCCATCATGACTGCTGATACTGCCTGTAAAAGCGGTGCAACTTTTGGGTCTATCGGTCACCTGCTGCTACTAGCGAAGCCCCGAGGTAGAGAAGTGGAGGTGGAGAAAAAAGACCTCGTTCCTGCTGCCTAGCGGTCACCTCACTTAACGTCGTGACACCCTCCGCGAGGAAGGCTGAAAAAATCTAAGTGCGATGCTTTTGCATTGACGAAATTATACGTGCGTGATTGTACATGCGCAGACCATAAGTAAATCTAGTCCAGAATGTGACCAAATGATAAGAATGAGGACGAGCATGACAGCAGAGGACCTGGGCCAGGTGATATGCAACAAGAAATATGATCAAATAAAGACGGTTAAAGAAGGGATGGCAGGACGACAGCACAGAGTGAGGGTAATGCCAAAGAAGATACGGAAGAACCAGAAAGGAAGGTATATGCTCTGGTTATCAAGTCGAAATCATCCCGAGGTCAAGTTCCTCGCTCGGAGATCCAAAGATCTCCTTGAAGATCTCTTTGCCCTCGAGTGACAGTGGCGGTAGTTGCTCGTCGTTCGCGCCAAGGTGGTCTCGTGAGACCTTAATCCGACGCAGTCGCTCGTCATTCCAAGTCTTCTCGAGGCTCTCGGAAAGATTCATCAGGCCAAAAAGGAAGCCGCGGTCGGGCTGATCAGGATAGTGTGGTGGGAAGCGCGCGTAGAGCAGACCGGTCTCTGGGTCGACTTCGGCTTGGTATCCCTTCCCGCTCGTAACCTCATCCATCTTGAGATAGTCCGGCGGCGGATATGGGAGCCAGTCACGCCCGGTGGTGGTGTGCGCAAAGTCCACAAGGCGGATCTGGACCTCGCCACGCTTGCGGCGCCTGTCTCTGCGGAATGACACGGGTCCGACAAGTAGGTCCTCGCTGCGCGATCGCCGTAAGCTCTGTTTGGGTTGCTCTGAATCGGGCGTACGACTGTCGAGCTGCCGTTCAAGCGACTCGCCTCGTTTGCTACGTGCGGAAACGCTCTCCATGCTTGCGGAGCGGAAGGCTTCCTGGGCGTCGTGGTCGCCATCGTAGATCATGAGCAGGCTGCACCCATAGAAACGGAAACCCTTGAGGCGGCTGATGATCCGCGCGAGGGCATACAACTTGCGGAGTATGACGGGGATCTGGTACACGAGCAAGCGCTCGCCATCGTGCAAGAAAGACGCGAGCACGGAAGGGAAGTCTTCGGTGCGCACTTCTCGACCCTTATACTTGTCTTGGGTGATGTACGACTGGGTGGAATGGTTCCAAACCTTTCAGGAACAAGCATTATCAGTCAGCTTCAGTCCAGACCACGAGAAAAAGTACAGGCTGTCTAGGAGATTATGGGTCCATATGACAGCCGCACATATATAGATTGCAATCAGGAGCTGAAACTTACCTGCATGCCACACACCCTGACTCCAAGGGTCCGACTCGTGGTCCTATCGCACTTCTTGCGTTGGCTCTTTTTCTTCAGAGGCGTAGCATCCATACCATACTGCCTTGTACCCATTTTCAAATCCAGAACACAAGAGTGCTTCAGTCGCCCCGTCAAATCCTCCATCAGTATGAAATGGTTCTGCCTCGTAACAGAGCCGTCCATCTCACGGTGACCAGGACCCGTGAGAGAAGTAGGATGTTCTGCGGGTACGTGTGGTTCCATGAGGCGGTGCGGCGACGGATGATCCGATGTCCTAGGCGAACTATGCCTCCTCGACCGGGGCGTGTATGTGCTGGCGGTATCCCCCGCCTCATCCTCCCGAGCAGTATGGTACGCCTCGAACGGGAAAATGTCTGACGGCTGCGTCTCCAAGTGATCATCACTCTGCACACGCCGCAGAGCCGAGCCGCCATAGAATACGCCCTCTTCCATGCGCAGCCTCTCCACCTGACTCAGCTTCTTCCTCCGTGTACGCAGGGCCTCACCGCCCAAACCTGCACCCTCGCCTTCGGCGTCTGCGACATCACCATCGTCGTCGGTGCGGCTACGACGTCGCCGACATAATCGCCGCAAAAGAGTGCTGAAAACATGATCTTTGAACTTGGTGTTCACCATCGTTGACCCTCGACCACCGCAAAGACCTGGCGGAAGGCTGCTGAACGACAGCTCGTGTGACCGCAAAGACCTGGCTAGAACCGCTTCAGTGTCGGTCTCAGACACCCGGAATGAAGCGCGAGGTGTGGTGCTGGGACTCGGCGGCTGGGTGCGCGATGACAGTCTCGGTGAGTTCGTGGGAGTGGGGACATCAAGATCAAGTATCTGACTCTGCGCAAGCGGGCTGGAAGTCTGCTTAACACTTGGTGCACTGAACGACACAGCCTGGTTCGATACAGCGGTCGATGCGAGGTCGGGGCTGGAAGCGGTGTAACCGTTCAGGTGATGCCGATGGAGACGACGACTAACGAAGCTAGGGCCCATGCTCGCCGACTGCGACAAGGCGCGCCCTCGTTGACCACGCAACATCCACTCGGGAACGATATGGCGATTGCGATCAAGGACAACCTCGGGCAACTCTGCTTCACCAGTGTCAGTCGCTTCCCCTTGATCATACTCGTCGCCCGAACCGTTGCCACGCCCTTGCTTCGGCATGATTGTCAGGGCACCCGACGCAGACTTCGGGAAGCTCGGACGGTGTAAATGCGATGCCATCGACTCCTTGGGCGGCGAGCCAACGGCCCGCGGCACTCGTCGATAGCTAACGAGCATAACACCGAGGTAGCGCGGAATAAAATCGAGAAGCGGCGGCGCTTCGCGCTCCACGGCCTCGTAGAACAGGTTCTCCCGAGAAACCAGAGGCTACACTCAGGTTAGTATGAATGTCCGCCCAGTGGAGCCATCTATTAACTCACCTTGCACACCGCACGCTTCGTGAACTTGTAGATAGCGGTATGGCCGCCGACCTGGTTTCTGAACGGGCGCAGAGGTATATGCGGAAGGCTCTCCTGCGAGAGGTTGAATGTCCAATCATCGGGTAGGTCGTGGTGAAGAGGCTCATCTCCCTGGCCCAAGTCAAGATCGTGAAAGCGCGTCAAGGGACCACCTTGCTGCTCGTCATCCTCATCACTCGGGTGCCTCACAATAGGCTGGGGTACTGGACTTGTTCTCGAAGGCGACAAAGGGAAGGGTGATGAAGTAGAAGTGGAGGTAGTGGTCGCCACGGAGGCGGTTTCCCATGCGGACTCGCTCTCGTCGTCTGAGGACCAAAGCGATAACGAAGGAGGCGGTGGAACAATGGATGCAGGCTGGCGGCGAGATTGAGGGGTGAGCGAAAGAGGAGAGGAGGGACCGCTAGCGGGCTGTGGTGATGCGCCTTGCGGTACCAAGGCAGGGGGAGGGACTGCATGCTCAGGAGTGGACACGAAAAGTGAGCTGGGCAGTAAGGGCGATAGTTGCTCTTCAGCATTGGGGAGAGAGCAATGCGCCCGAGAAGGCTGTCCTCGATATAACGAAGAAGGTGGTGTACGGTCATTCCTTTCCTGGTACGTCGTGCTCAACGAGGCAGAGCTTTCACTAGCAGGCGGGCCCGCAAGAATACCGTCCACTTTGTCTTCGGGCCAAAGTGGGCGCTCTCGTGGCCGGCCCCGACCATCGTCCTGGTTCGCTGCGACAGTGTTGCGCCACTGGACTAGGTCGCCAAGAGCCGTGTCTCGTAGCGAAGCTTGTCTCTCCTTCCTCCGCCGACTGTCCTCTTCCCGCGTACTACTCATGCTTTCTCGCGTTTTAACCCGTTCTAGCACGGTAGTGCTCTTCTCCCTTCGTATGGCGGCGGCTTCACGTTCAGGCCAATCGGACCGCTTGACAAACTCAAACTGGGGCTCGCCGACATCATTGAGTTTCTGGAAAGACCCACTACGATGACGCGAGGTTGAAGAGACAGAGCGGCCGCTCTCAAAAGGATTCGGTTGCTCAAGGCTGGGGGTGGTGACGGACTCCTTGAAGAGGTCGAGGGAAGCGGCGACCTTGCGTCCAATACCCGAAGAGGTGGAGGGCGGATGGGGCTTCCACGGTGAGCCGCTCGAGGACGACGAGGACGAAGCAGAGGATGAACGTCTAGACAGGGGTCGCTGGGTAGCTGGAGGGCCCTTGGAGTGGAGAAAATCGACGGGAGCGGTACGAGACGAGGGTAGTGTTAGGGCCCTATCCGATGGTTTTCGGGTTGCCCTGCGGCGGACAGGAGACTGGGGGGAGAGTGGACCGTGCTTGGTTTCCGTGCCAGAACTGTCTGATTCTGACTCATAGTAGTCGTTCGATCGCTTTGTGGGCGACTGTAGCTTGTGGGAGGCGGCGCGGCGGGTGGAAGGTGGGGAAAATGGAGGCCTGTCCCTGGCCTGCGGGGGATCAAACGCGAGGCGAGAGTGGGTAGGAGTCGAGGCCGAGGTAGAGGGCGAGGGCGGAAAACGGTAGGATGGTTGCTCCGCGTGGGGACTTGCTGGGCGAGGCCCCATGAACTGTTCGAGAAAACGGACGGGTGACAACGGGAGCGGACTTGAGAAAGGGCAGGAAACGGAGGAGAGAGAACTGACCTAAGGAGAGGCGAGGATATAAGTGCTTGGTGCACCGGGAAGACGTAAACGGAGCGAGCAACGTTGGTGCAGATCAGAGATGGTTTGGATTCGGGGAGATGGAGGAAGAGGGAATATTTGTTTTCTCTTGTTTTTCTGCGGCCGCAGTGGAGGTGAGCGAACGGGTGTGTGTGTATCTCTGGACTCGAGGCGGTCGGGGCAATCAAAGCCTCTGCTGCCAGTGACGATATGGGCATCCCTCACAGGCCTCACACGTGGGTCCGTACCGAGACCCCGTGAGCCTGCTGACAAATCATTTCCCGCCCCGGTGCTCTCCCCTCCTGTGCAAAAAACATGGCCGCGACCCCCGCTGTTCACTGCGTCTGCCGTCTGAGACAGTCCTCGAAACACCCTCGACGCCGTCTGCGCAGCAGCCCTCACAGCGTTCTCGGTGATCTGGGTCTTCCTCGAGCCTGGCCCCATGCTGCCGTACGTAACGACGCACGTTTGCACCTCCACGATCTTCTCGTGTCTTTCCGTCCGCCCTCGTTCCCAGCCGTTGCTCCATCCAATGGCCTCCTCACCCGCATCGGACCCGCTCCTCGCCATCGTCTGCCATTCGGGCCACCTCCCTATCTGAACCTCGCCCGCTTCTCCCCCGTTCTATTGCGCGAAATTCCCTCTCCCCCAACTATCGCCGGCCGAACTGCAGAGCACCTGCTACCGTACGCTCAGAGGCGCCTCGTTGTGGCCAGCGACGCGCTCGTTGGGGATTGTGTGTCACATTGAACCCAATCTCCGATTTTAAACGCACACACGCCAACCTTTAGCCTTTTTCTCCTCGAGCGTGACGTGCAAGCACGTTTATGGGACGCGCTTTGCTATTCGCCCACAGTTCGTACAGGCTCCGGTGACAGCTTGGCTTCCAAACGTGTGCCATCCGGTGTCTGCCGCGCTCGTTCTCTTGTCGCATGACTACGGACTTGACATGCTCCCACGGACATCCTCAATGGCTCAATAATGTTTGACCTCCATCCGTGATGACAAATATTTTAGATCACAGCTGAGCAGGCTGCCTCCTCTGTACTTCTCATGGTAGAACAAGTTCAATCTTATCAATTAAGTTGTATCAAAGCTATAGCTGTAGTTAACAGCTTCATCAAGGTTTAGACCATGTTGTGATTGCTAATTGTTATCCACTGGAGTTTAGAACAGGCAACAGTGAAGTTATCTTACAAATTTGAAAGCAGTGGAGTAGCATATGTACATATTTGAGCTTACCAATTTTTGTATCACTGTACTGGTAGTGAACAGTAAATAACTCAGCTATTGGTTTGCTCTATAAAAAGTAACCATTTTTGTACCTTATATACAGAGCAGAAACAAGTTTTGTTTAAAGTATAAAAGAACCTGGAGAGAGAGAAAAGGCAGATTATAAGTGCTGTGCTTATTTAATATATAAATATGGTAATACTACAATAAGCAGGATTGCACGAAGTACATATGTAACTATATGAACACATTAAAAATTCTAATTTAGAAGCATTATAGATAAGTGTGTGGTAATAGCTGCTTTATAAGAGGCAACATGTAACATGTGACCTAATACTTAATCAAAAAACTGCTTTGGTAGCAGTGTGATGGCAAACAATAACTTGTGTGAAAACTAGCAATTGACTAGCTGTGACAAGGCAAATCAGAAACAATTGTAATGGTGTGTGATTGGAACTTGACACAATACATTTTTCATTTTGCAAGAGAGATCTGTAAATACATATAAATATCATTGTAACCTAGGACAAATTATGACAAATTACCTTTCTAAAATGCTTAAGCAGGTATGCCACCCTTGCCATGCTTTTTAACTCACACAATTACAATGAAGGTATGCATATATGTACTTTATATGCATCATAGAACTTACATGACACACAGCCACAACAAAGTTTACCTCTGTTTCTCATACTCTGAGCATTTTCTGGCATGTCACCAGTTTTCAAATATCAAAAACAAGAAAATGTTATATTTTTGTTCTATAATAGAGAACTAAAAGAATAAAACAAAGGGAAAAGATATATAAAAAGAAAAGAGCAATTTTTCAGCATAAGCAGAATATAAAAAGGAAAGTCCAAAAGAGATATCTAGTAAAAAGGTGATGGCATCAGGTGCCACCATCAAAAAGTTGAGCATAGCTGTGTAAACATCAAGTTACAGTGATGTGCAATATTGCTACCATCGTGGTAATTTGAAATGAGGGCTTTTAGCTATTGGCTAAAGTTTATTCTAATATTAGGCTTGGCATTGGAATTTCAAATAAAGTCACCTGACTGTATCAGTCAGCATGAAGTATTAGGGGTCATGAAGTATTAGGGGTCCTAGCACATTTATATATTAAGAGCTTGATTGAGAAGTGAAGCTTGGCAATATCTTTCACACTCTGCAGCAGTTTTGTATTTCATGTCAGTATATTTTTCATTAAATCCACCTCAATAGCTGGTGGAGCCTAGTTTGAGCACAAGTGTATATTTTAAACTTGATTAAAATATTACAGCTACTAGCACCAGTTATATGGATACAGCTACTTCTTCAACATCTACCCTACATGCTTGGACACAAGATGTTTCAAGCTCTCATCTGTTTCATACCAATGATGGTATAGAAAGTAAGTGAACATAACTTTATTTATGTTTAAAAAATTTAATTGTTGCAATGAACTAGAACTCAGCCTTTGTTCATCTGTGCCTCATCAGAGCTCTTTTGCAACTTACCAAAGTGATATATTTTTATGCATTTTGCTATAAATACTTGTGCTAATTGCATTTTTCCAGATTTTACCAATACCTCAGTTTTTGCGCATCCTGGCACAACTTCAAATCACTCACACTTTTACTCTCCTCGTATATCTTCACCACTTAATCCACATGTGAAGCCACTAGAAACTGGAGTGCCTAAACAATCAAAGCAAATTGCAGAGCCCTCTTTATATCAGTCTCTCTTGAAAAAGCGCCATCAATCACAACTCAAAGAACTTCAATTCATGTTGACACCAAGCAGTGACCAATCACCAGACCCTTCCATAAATGTCAGTAACTCTCATTGCTGAACAATGCATCAGAGGTCTCGGCAGTGACATTTCTTCTTTGCAGATCTCAAGACCATCAGTTAATAATCAGCAAATCTCTCAGGATCAGCACCACCTCATCCTTCAGTCATCATTGCGCCATGTTTTTCATGCCCTATCTATCCCAGTCAACTCTCCTATATCTGAGGTGCCTGCCTTTAACACGATACAAAGTGTGACAACAGGCAATCCCTCAGGCTCCCAGAAGCATGGCACAACAGCTGGAGCAGTGTACTCTGACACACAAAAGGCAGACTACCCATCCACCGGAGCAGCCACAGGTGGCGAGGAAGATCATCTCAATGATCAACTTCTGTGCAGCATCCAGGATCCGGCACCCAACCCAGTACTCACTTCCTCCAAGTCTACCACTCCTGATCACCCTAAGAAGCAGCACTCCATCTTCCAGAAGCCTTTAAAGAGGCCAGCGCCAGTTGTCGATATCATTGCCAGAGTCAAGCGTCCTCGTCCGGATAACTGGAGCAACACGAAGCGTACCGCAGGCCCGCGTCCAAGCGAGATGCTTGGAGGTAGACTGCACCGCGGGAGGCAGCCTCTGCCTGCGAACCGACGCATGGAGTTTGGGAAGGACCGTGTGGCCAAACCCCTAGAGCACGTTACTGGCCACCACAACGTCACCGGACACCGTAAGGCGTCAGATGCAATGGTCGAGGACTGGGTCGAGCGGTTGAAGACGTGCTTCGAGGCCGGCGCGAAGGCCGCTAGTGGCAACCCCGAGGCCAAACGCACCTATCATGCTGCCCTCGCGCATGCGGTAGATGCTGCCGAACACATGAAGACGTCCGTAAGGAGCATGGGGATCGAGGTCATCAAGGTAAGCAGCGTCCTATTGGTCGTCTCAGCGGCAGCGATGCTAACAGGCGGCGATCGAACTCACAGAGGACCCAGCTCTATGCACACCTTGTCACGTTCAAGGGCTACGAAGTCGACGATCAGTGGGAGAAGAAAGGGTTAGACTTGGTGCGAGTCATTGAAGAGGTTACGAAGGTGGTGAAAAAGAGGCTGGTGGAAGGCATGCAAGCGCAGAAGCCGCAGTAGACGGACTCCGCTTGGCGTCTTACAACACCGCGGCGCGCATTTGGAATACGAAGAATGATATGTTCCACTGCTTCTGCATGACTCTATTTCCATGTTTCCTTGTTTAAGATCTCAAAATTAGTTCGAAATATACCCTACATCGTTTATGCAATAATTTTTGTCGACATCTATACACTGTCCTGTAGTCGCACATATGATTACTTTCCGAGCTCAACGTAAGTTGACCAAGGATACGTCCATTAGATGACCACTATGATACGTTGCTGAATAGGCGTGGCTAAGATACTGAAAAGACCTGGTCTTGTGTGAGGCTGTCGCGACCATCACGAAGGAAAACAGACAGAGTCAAGGCTAATAGTACACACAAACGTACCCAAACGAGAGTGCTCTAGTGAAAGTCTATGAAATGTGGCAAAATGTCTCCATGTGCTCAACAACGATCAGGGGCCTCTTCGTCCAAGCGTGGTCGCTTGGCGACACGAGCATCCTCGTCCTCGTCATCGTCGATAATAATAACCGGAGACTCTGCCCGCTCCGTGGGCGGCTGTAAGGAGGCCATTGGCGGAGCCTCGGGGGTGCTGCTCTGCTCGGGCTTCACCGTGCGATTGGGGAGGGGAGTCATGACAAACAACCCTTCCGATGCCTGTGATCGAGTAGGACCCTGTGATCCTCCGCCTCTCGGCCGTCTGCCGCGCCCCCTGCCGCGACCTCGACCACCCTCAGCCCTAAGTTTCTCCTTGTAGAAGCGCACGATGTAGCCCTGCAGAATCTCGAGTGCTTTCTGGGCGCCCAGGGCTTCGAGGTCGCGGAGCTGCTGCGGGGTGAGATGCGAGAAGATCGTTGGGTTGAGTATGAGAGTATTCTGGTGCAGAACAATGGGCTTAGGATCAGCGTTAGAAGCCTCGGGTGAAGATGAAGGGACAGCGCCAACAACTATCGGAAGACGGACAGACGGAGGAATGGGAGGGATAGAAGACGCCTGCGCGGCCGGCGAAGCTGACGCCTGCGCTGCTGCCGGCTGTGCGAGGCCACTCACGCCGGGAGTGGGCTGTGTCGAGTCCGGTGGCGGAAGAGTGGGCGCTGTGTTCGCCGGAAGAGGAAGTGCAGGCGTCGGTGCTGACTCGCTTCTCGTAGGTAGAGGACTAGCATTCATCGTGTGGCTGAAAGATGTCTTCAAGATCAGGGGTGTAGACGTCAGTGGGGGAGGAAGTGGCCCTTTGGCGTCGCCTTTCACACTGCGCTTCAGCGGAGGGTCGAGAGGAACACCTTTGCCTTTCTTGCCAAGGCCCTTCGCCTCAGCCTGCTTACGAGCCTCCTGTTCCTCAAACGTGTGCTCGAACTGGGGATCCACTGACCAAAGGGCGCCCTTGCCCTTCTCGTCTGGGCCGCGTTCGACTTTCTTGAATGCACGGTTGGAGGAGAGGTTGTGTCGTACAGAACTCTGGGACAGCGGTCAGTGAACTTCGACTGGGGCGAGAGACAGTCACGAACCTCCCAATCCTTGTCGGAATACTTGTACCACTCGTACGAATCCTGTATCCATTGGCAAATGTCCTGAAGTGACGCTCGCCCGCTAAGAGCTTTGATGGCACGGTAGCACAGCTGTGCGTAAGTGTACTGTGGCTTCGGTGGCATTACGTCCGGTTTGACTCGTGGGAGGGCATCAGCATCTGGCTTCTTGCGCTTCTTATTTAGCTTCAGTCTCGTTATAGAGTTCGAGTTGGGTAACTGAGGTTCCGGTAGTGGTGGAACCTTCTCAGGTGGTGAGGGTACAGTGGCGGAAACCGGCGGAGAGTTAGGCGGAATGGAAGAAGGCGGAGAGATAGACGTTACATCGATAGACGTAACGTCAACAGACGGCGAGCGTGGCCGGTGTTCGACCGACGAATGAGAGCTAGGTGAGGGCGAATCCTCGGGCGGCGCAGGAGGTGGGGGCAGGACAAAGTGGAAAGTGCGCGACGCTATTTGTATTTGCGACCTACACAGGAATGAGGCGAGCGCAGTAGATACGAGTGGGCCTACGCACCTGTCACCCAATGGCACTCTGCTACCACTCCCAGACCAGACTCCGTCAACCCAAGCGCCGTTTCTGCCAACCACGATGAGAACAAAACGCTCTTCGTCTTCGTCATACTCGATCTTGGCGTGAAGGCGTGAAACACTCTTGAGCGGGCCAAGATCAACATCAACCTGAGGACTGTCGGATGTAGATGCGGTATTTGCAGGGATGCAGCGCCGTCCGATAGTGACGTTCAGAGTTTGGAGATAATAGGTGAAGTTAGGGAAGACAAGGCTGTAATATGCGCTAATCTTGTCCGGTACTGGCTCCTCGTTGGCGAACGGACCATTGCCGACTACTGCGGCAGCGGCAGAGGGGGTATCCTGAGGAGGAGCGACGACGGCGGCCATGGGTGCCTGGTGGTGGGCGAGTAAGAGGAGTTCGACTCACTCAAGAAGGAGGCTGCATTTGGACGCCAGCTGCTGCCCGGCTATCCGGTTTGAACTTTGGGCGCCAACCAATATCGGCATGCAATAGCCAGTGATCGACCCCGTGTTTGTTCGAGCGACGTTCGAACCCCAGCGACGCACGTTCACAGCGGCGGATGTCACGGTCAGCGTCGACCTAAATGCCCCTCGGAATGACCTCGAACACTCGTGGCAAACGTTATCGTCCCCAACTCTTGTTAGGCGCCGACCGGTCTGTACTGTGACGAACGCGCTCGGCATATGCATGACTGTGTCCTCCATCCGAGCTTGCCAGTTCAAACTGCTGAGATTGCTCTCTGTCAACGTTCCCCACCACACACCGCCGGCACTTTACTAGAATGACACAGACTGTAATGACAGCCAAGGAAGAGGTGCAGCAGGAGCTCAACACTCTTGCTGACAAGGATGTCGACAGTGTGGACTCGGATGTCCGCTACATGGCATACGGTGCTCGTCTGAGGACGGCGCTGCGTGCAGGTTCCCGGTACATTGCCTACGTAAGTGCCCCGACACCTCTGTTTCGGGCATCGACAGAATTACACTCAGACCAGTGATGTCGGAGAAGCTTTTCGGCCAGTTGTCCCACCGGCGGTAGTAACCGCAGCATACGGGATTTCGTGGCTTTATCTTGCGGGGTCAGTGCATACGTCGCATCAAGATCGTCAGCCTTGCTCATGTATCTATTCTTCGCAGAGATGTCGGCTACGAGGCGTACAAAGCTCACCGCAAGGGCCCGTCGCCCGTCGAAGCCGCGCATTTCTCGGAGCCTGCTCGCATCGGAATGGTCTGCGCCCAACGTGCAGCCTTTCAATCCATAGCATCGATGTACCCGTTATCTCCCTCTAACAAATGACTCCTGCGCTGATCTTTGTTATTGCCGCGCCAGGGCTCTTCCTGCCTTCACAATCCACACCGCCGTGAAGCAGGCGAAGAAGGCATTCGTAAACAGCCAGAACCCCAGGGTCAAGACATGGGGTCCAACTGCAACCGGTCTTGCTATCGTTCCAATCCTACCATACTTGTTCGACAAGCCGGTAGAACATGTTACGGACGCCGTTTTCGAATGGATCGAGCGGAAAATCATAGAAAGCCAGAGCTCATCATCCAGGACATCAGAGCTATGATCTCATACCTGTCATCTGTGATATCGCCATTCCGCAGTGTTTTCCCAGAATTGCCTTCAAGTGTGGTGAGACAGGGTACTCTGTTCACGACCGAGCATGCTTGACACACTGTATCTAGAGTATTCCGTGATGTATAGCATGGCGAATTCACGAGTATCGCAACATACAATGCAATAAGCAAATGAGCCGCTTACGAGACGTTCTATTCAAGGCAAACGGTACAGTGCTAGAGGAATAGAGCTGACCGAAGTCGCCGGAATGATTCCGACCTCGGTAACTACTGCCGTAATGGACGTAGGGGGAGTTAGGTCGTAAAGCGGGTTCAGAATCTCGAGGTGCGGCTCGTTCGTGAGCAATAGCGCTTCCCGAGGCTTGGCCAGGGGATACGGTGTCAAAGCATCACCTAGGGGACCTATAGGGAACAGTTAGATCGCCATGTGGCGGAGAGCCAACGATGTTGTACTTACCTAGCTCGTTTTTTGTGAAACTATCCAATTGGACACCGGCGGAAAATTTGTAGGTCTCGCAGCAGACGATGAATGGTATCGAGTGTTGCTTGGCCATCATGGCAACAAGAGCTGTTCCAGCTCTCGAATACACAGCGCCGTTTCCGTGTATCGAATGTGCTCCTACAATAACTGTGGACACCTCCGTGATGATAGAGCCCAGCGAGGGGAGAAGAAGATATGTGCACTGGATCCCTGCCCGCGACAGAACGGAAAGAAGACGTTTGCCTAGGTCTCAAATGTCAATCATGCCAAGGCGCACGCCGCGAAGGCACCTTACCTTCCAAGAGGGGTCTTGAGTCTGCGACAATCACCGAAAACTGCCGCCCTTCAGCGTGTGCTGCCAGAAGAACCTTCTCAACAACTGAGGAGCTGTGATAAATATTCAGCAGAGAACAAGTAGTATGCTATTGAGAGCATACCGCGAGTAGGTAAGGATGACATCCCCATCCTTGATTTTCTTGCAGCAGCTCTCCTCAATGATGCCGTCTGCAGCAGTGATACGCTCACTGATGTAACGGTCGATATTCTGGCATAACGCGTCCTTGGCCTAGATGCGGGGAAGGTGGACAGAGATATGCTTATTAATCAACGTACTGTACGGACAGGCGATACGAGAACGGAGGGGTGAATACGAACATCCTGCTCCGGAAGATCAATGCTCGACTTGCTGATATCAAACTTGAGTTGACGAATTGCATTACCCATGGTTATAGACATGGGACGTGCAGCAACTAGATGGCTAATTTGTGGTGAGAGGTGGGTCATAAGGTGACGCGAAAGCGTAGTATTCGGAGGGGTGACATAGTCTTGGATGACCTGCACATCAGTCACACACTACGCTATGATCTGAGGGTAGGTTGCGTACAATTTTGAACGCGTTCAGAGTAGCAATACACCTCGCATTCGCACCCGTGATCTTGAACTCAGAGAACTGGAGTGCAAGGCGCAGGATTGCCGGATGGATCTCTCCCTTGATGATAGACACCCGTTTTTGCGCACCGAAATGCGAAAATATGCGTAGGCCGCGCTGGTCCCCTAGGGTGGATTCGTGAGCAGTAGTAGACCGGCCCATGTCCTTTGGTTTCGGCGTGACAGGAGGGGCCCTTGGGGAGGCGTCCGCGTTTTTATTCGGTTTCTTTGGAGCCGAGGCAGATGTGGAAGGCTGGCCTGAAGCCTTCGCTGTAGCCTTTGCAGCGCGCTGACATTCCTGGAGCTCTCTCCGCTCAGCTCTGGTCATTTCCTTCTGGGACTTCGGTGGGGGTTTTGCAGAATCATGATGCGGTCCGCTCGGTGGCTGAACAGGAAGTGAGGGGGGAGGTGCCATGTCGATGATATGCGTGCAGTTAATGTAAGAGACTTCAGGTTATGCAGACAAGGATTTGGCAAACCAGGTGATAGAGACAGACCGAGTCAGAGCGCAGGCTAGTTAGACGAGTCAGAGCCAGCGTTGATTCAATCTGGCCGAAGATCTTCCCACGTGCTTTCGATAACTCGATTACGTCAGCCTCCCCAGACCTAGCGTCTCGGTTGGCGAGAGTCAAGCGTCAAGGTCACCCAAACCCAAACCTCCACCCCGACCACGGCCAGGGACCCTCCGCCGTGCACACCCAGGCCTAACCTACGACAGAAGAACGGCTGAGAGAATACCATGGTACGTGCTCACTTTCTCGAATTTTCCTTTTCTTAATGTAGGAGGCTTTGTAGGGTGTCCCTGCGCTCTTCCGATGGCTGAGTAAAAAGTACCCGAAAATCAGTGAGTTTCTCATTGTTATATATAGTGAAACGATGCTAAGCATCATCCTTGCAGTCTATCCTGTAATTGAAGAAGAAGAGGCCAAGGTTCCTGGTGAAGACGGCGAAGAAGTGTTGGTACCAGTCGACATTTCAGGTCCCAATCCCAACAAAGAGGAGTTTGACAATCTCTACCTCGATATGAACGGTATCGTGAGTGTTTAAAACTAATTTTGGGGTATATGTTGATACTTAGGCTATCAGGTTCACCCGTGCACACACCCGGAGGGCAAGGTAATGCCTGCTTATGTTGCTGCGCATTTCAAATGCTAATGCCACTATAGCCCGCACCGGAAACTGAAGAAGACATGATGATGGAGATTTTTGAGTACACTGAGCGTGTTGTCAATATGATCCGTCCCCGCAGACTTTTGTTCATGGCCATTGGTGCGTTTTCATTGCTATCTCCTGGCAGGTGATGCTCATTGCTACCACAGATGGAGTTGCTCCGCGAGCGAAGATGAATCAGCAACGTTCGCGTCGTTTTCGCACTTCACAGGAAGCCAGAGAAAAAGAGGAAGCTCGAAGGGAGTCTATTGCGTTGTGGGAAGGTTCGTACTCATGCCATCCCATGAGGTAATCATATTAATTTTAGACTAGCTATGGGGAAGGAAGTCAGCGAAGAAGAAAGGGAGAAGAAGTCTTGGGACTCTAATGCTATCACACCCGGGACGCCCTTCATGGCCCTCTTGGCAACGTCGCTTCGGTATTGGGTTGCGCGGAAGCTTAATTCGGACCCAGGCTGGAAGAACGTAAGTCTCCGTTATCTTTATCTATGACTAAATTCTCATGGTCCGTAGCTTCAAGTTATCATATCCGATGCGAGTGTCCCCGGCGAAGGAGAGCACAAGATAATGGACTTTATTCGTCGACAACGGTCGAACCTCGGGCACGATCCGAACACCCACCACGTCATCTACGGTCTGGTAGGTTCTCGTCTACTTTCCATATTGTACATGAATACTAACATTTGACAGGATGCTGACTTGATCATGCTTGCTCTAGCTACGCACGAACCATACTTCCGAGTGCTTCGTGAAGATGTCTTCGCTCAGGGCACCCAGACCGCTTGCCGTTTGTGCGGGCAGGATGGCCACTATGCAGCACAGTGTACTGCCACCCAGGTAGAGATAGACTTCCACAGGAAAATGGTCCCACTAGCGAAGAAGCCATTCATCTTCCTCGACGTCGCCATTCTGCGAGAGTACTTAGAAGTCGAGATGAAAGTACCTCAACAGCCCTTCCCCTTCAACCTTGAACAAGCGATAGATGACTGGGTTTTACTAATTTTTTTTGTCGGAAACGACTTCTTGCCCCATCTTCCATCGCTTGAGATTCGCGAGGGCGCCATCGATACTCTTCTCAGAATCTGGCGTCGTGAGCTACCGCGGATGGGCGGATACTTGACCAACCACGGCCAGCTAGAACTGTCGCGTGTGCAGATCATTCTTGAAGGTCTTGCACAACGCGAGGATGACATCTTCAAACGAAGGCGTGAGGGTGTGTGTTTTGCTTGTCTACGCTCAGGAATAGTCGTTTACACGGAGTATGCAGCGGAGGAACGTCAAGATCAAAATGCAAAGCGGCGTAAGATTGATAAGGAAAAGGCTGCCAATGGCGGCGGCCCTCCAGCTGTGCTCAACCTCGGCGGCGCCCCAGCTGCGCCGTCGTCGGCTCCCATTCCAGACGCCGTGACACCACGTACTCCTACCTCACCAACCAAGAAGCAGGCAGGCCAGGACTTCGCAGCCAAAGCGGACAGTATCGGACTTGGTGGTCCCAAAACTATCGAGACGGAACAGTTTGCCGGCCGAGCAACCCAGGCTTGGGGAGGCTCAAACCATGATGTCGTTGCCAATCGTCGCGCCATTCGGATGGCTAACATGAGCGCCGCCGAAGTACTGAAGGCAGAGCTAGCTGGTCTCACGCCAGTGAAGCCATCAGCGAATGCTTTCGCCTCGGCTTCTACACCCGCCGTACCGACGCCCCAACCGACGGACGGCGACGTCCCACCCGCGATTGTTGCTAATACGGAGCTCTCTGAAGAAGGCACCGACATCCCCGGACTGGGTGCCGGTCCGAACACGTCAACATTCGTCATCGACACCATGGACGAGGACGAGAGTGGCCAGCGAAATGGCATTCTTGACGCCAACTCTCTCAAATCTCCTCACGGTGTCAAGCGAAAGCATAACATTGCTGAGGCGGAGGATGAGGAAGCTGAAGAGGCCGAGGGCGATGTAACTATCCCAGTTGAGGATGACGACGATGCTGAAAGCCCCCATGTCGCCAACTACGCGTTGAAGGTCAATCCGGATGGTACTGTTGAGCAGGAGGATACCGTTCGGCGAGTCAAATCCTCTACTTTACTATCTTTTCACTGACCAATCACTTAGCCTGTGGGAGCCGGGATACCGAGAACGGTACTATAAACAGAAGTTCGGTGTGTCACATTCGGACACTGCGGTACGCAAGAGGTGGGTTGGATCCATTAGATTTTCATTTAGCACTGTTATTAATTTTAAGTGGTACAGAGTAACGCAGAAGTATGTTGAAGGCATGGCGTGGGTGCTCCAATACTACTACCAAGGGGTAAGTACCCTTCTACTGTATATGTTTGATCTTCACTTGACACTCTTCCAGGCGCCTTCCTGGCAGTGGTTCTACCCATTCCACTTCGCCCCATTTGCGGCCGACTTCGAGGATGTTGGTAGCATGGAACTCGACTTTATCATTGGCCAGCCATTCAAGCCCTTTGAGCAACTGATGAGCGTCTTCCCTGCATCTAGGTGAGCACCCTTGCTTCACAAAACTCCTGCCCTTGCTAATAGCTCGGAATAGTCGCATACATATCCCATCTGTGTTCCATGATCTCATGCTTGACCCCAACTCACCGATCATCGACTTTTATCCGAGCACCTTCAATGTCGACATGAACGGTAAAAGGATGACCTGGCAAGGTGTCGCACTCCTTCCGTTCATCGACGAGATGCGGCTGCTGGATGCGATGGCTCCGAGATATCCAGGCCTCACCGAAGAAGAGGAGAGACGGAACAGCTGGGGCAACAACGCCCTCTTCGTCTTCGAGGAACATCCTCTGTATCCAACTATGGAAGCCCTCTACGGCAAGCGCAAGACGCAGGACGTAAGTTCTTTGACCGTTAACATTAGAATTTTCACTCATTGTGTGGTAGCCTATGCCTATCGACTTCAAATATACCAAGGGTATCGAAGGAAGCCTACTTCCCGATCCTGAGTGTCTCCCTGGCTCGACATATTCTTGTCCCTTGACCTCAGTAAATCTTCTGGACATCAAGAACGACCGCTCGCTTTCTGCTTTGTACCTCTACCCTAAGCAGCTGACACCACACCGTTCAGTCCTGCTCCAGGGCGTACAGAGGCCGCAACCGGTCCTGACCGACAGCGATCGTGAGAATGCTCGACGTCACAATACGGGCGGCGGACGAGGACGTGGCGGCGGCCCGTCTCCCGCGACAGGCCAATGGTCTCACAGTCATCAGAATGACAGAGACCGTGGCAGGAGTGACGGGGCTCGCGGTGGTGGCCCGTCGCATGGCAGCTACGGTAGCAATGGCTACGGCGGGCCCAATTACCGTGACAACTACAACCACAGCCCGCATTCGGCATCGCCATCACACGGATACGGGTCGAGCAGCCAGTCCTATGGAGGTTATGGAAGCCAGCAGTCGCACCAGCAATCTGGATCGTATCGTGGTGGCAGAGGCGGGTCCTCCCACGGTGGTGGGTACGGAGGCGGGTATGGGGGCGGCGGGTATGGGGGCGGCGGATCCGGTGGGGGCGGCGGATCCGGTGGGGGCGGCGGATCCGGTAGGGGCGGCCGCGGCGGGTATAACAATTCGTACGGCAATCACGGTTCGCATAACCAGTCGCACAACAACCACGGCCCGCCCCGTAATCAGGGAGGCTATGGTGGCGACGGACAAGGAGGTTACGGTGGCGATGGACAAGGAGGTTACGGTGGCGGAAACCGAGGGGGCTACGGTGGGTACGGTGGCGGGGGACAAGGTGGCCACGGTCGTGGAGGCCAAGGAGGAGGACGCGGACGCGGCGGGTACAACAATGCTGGTGGGCGTGGCGGCTACGGTGGCCAGACATACGACCAAGGTGGCGGCTACGGAGGCTATGGACAAGGGTCACACAGCAATAACCGTGGCGGGTACAACAACTCGGGTAGAGGGCGCCAGTGATAGGCGGCTGCTGCATCTGCAGGATTGAATATCCATTGTATATACACTTAGTATATGTTACATTGTAATAGTACCTATTGGCACATCTGTTACTCTTCAATCTTCCGTGAAATAGGACCTGATGTAGAAGTTCAACTGTCTTCGCCACGGGCAACCAGTACTGCTCGTGGTGTGCGGCACGATGATGCCTCAAAGCTCTGGAGCGACGCAGGTGACATACATCGCATACTTCCTCTCGGCCTCGCGTGCCTTCTTGCGCTGCTTCTTCTCCTGCCTACGCCTTTTCTTCTCTGCCCTTTTGCGCTCCTTGCGAACGCGCTTCGTCTCCTGCAGCTCGGCGAGTTGACCCTCGAGCTGCCTGCTGTACGCGCCACCGTAGGCACCGTACCGATGGCGGTCGTCGCGGTCGTCCTCAGATTCAGACCCGCTGCTCGAGGACTCGGACGAGTCGCTGATGGGGGCGGCACCCTCGAAGCCGGGAAGGTGCACGTCGACGGTGCCGGCGAGCCTGCCCGAGCGGCGTTCGCGGCCCTTGTAGAGCACAAGCTCGACGCCGCGCTTGAGGAAGAAGGAGGTGTTCCAGAGGTCGATGAGGTCAGAAGTCAGAGTGGTCCGCTTCGGAGGGCGGCCGTCGGTCGCGTAGGCAGGCACAGGGAGCTTGCCTGCCCAGGCTAAGGAGAGATCCTGTGATCACGTCAGCACAAGCACGAAATTCCAGCCAAAGCGACGCACTGTCATCAAGCGTATCCAATCCTCATGGTAGACGTCGTGCGGCACAAGAACGAGCGGCATGCGGGGGATGTTCTCGTAGAAGTCGTCCATGTCCTGGATCTTCGTCGTCTCGAACCGCGTGTACGCCTGCGACAGGTTCGGCGGGCGTGAGAAGCCCTCGGGCGCAGGCATCGACTGCTGCTCCGGCTGCTGCAGTGCTGGTGAGCCATATTGACCGGAAGGGACACCGTAGCTCGGGGGCGCGCCCCCGTAAGGCTGTTGCGTGGCGCCGTAGCCGTACGTACCAGTGGGTGCAGGGGCGACAGCATACGAGCCGGGATTGGGAGAAGGTGCGCGAGACAGCGGGCGCGGAGCAATAGGCTTGCCCTCCATTACATGTCCTGGCGGATAGAAGCCCTGCGGGGGCAGCGGCCCGCCGCCTTGGTACGGCGATGCGGAGCGTGGAACGACAGGCTGGTAAGGCGATGCAGCTCGCGGCGGACCCAGAGGAGCCTGGTATGGAGAGGCCGCACGTGGCAAGACACCGGGGATCTGGTAGGGCGAAGCTGAACGTGGCAAGACACCGGGGATCTGGTAGGGCGAAGCTGAACGTGCGGGAGGAGGAGGCGCGTATGGAGATACCGGGCGGGGGGCGGCGCCGGGCTGGTAGGGCGATGCTGAACGGACCATTCCAACACCCTGAGACGCAGTGCGCGTCGGCGGGGCAGGATAGTACTGCTGGCCAGCGGTATACCCACCAGCTGGCGCGGCGTAGCTAGTGGTGGGACTGGCTGGGGCGTAAGACGCGGGGTATGCGCCTGCCGCCCCGGTAGCGTACGTATTCGGATCGTACGTCGCGCTCTGCCGGGAACGAACTTTGGCGGCCTCAAACTCCCGTTCTCTCTCTCGCTCACGATCACGGTCTCGGAGGTCCATGTCGCGGAATGAGCGGTCCAAGTCCCGGTCGTAGTCCCGGTCGTAGCCATAACCAGAGTTACGCTTAGGGCGTTGGTCCTCGTTGTCCCGTTCGCGTGCACGCCTAAGCTCTCTTTCGAGCCGTTCTCCTTCACGCTCGAGCCGGCGGCGCTCCTTCTCTTCGCGGCGGAGCTCTTTCTCCCGACGTCTGTCTTCTTCACGATGCCTGAGATCCCACCATCAGCATGCAATGTAACAGGTGCGGGAAGCACACGTACCTGTCGCCATCATAATAAGGATCGCGCGCATGACTGTTACGATTGAATGACGCGAGAATGTCCTATCCCTAATCAACATTCCACGGACACAATAAGCTGCTCGGAGCATACCGCTGTGGCGGGGGTTGCCCCAGCAGGCAGCATCCTGGTTGCCTCCGCAGGTACCCACTGGATGCCGGTCACGATACCTTGAGGTGTCTCATAGCTGCACGCAAGAGGCCATGATCAGCACTCCATCCGTGCTCTCCACTTTCAAAAAACTTACCTCGCAGAGACTGCTCTGAGTTCAATGAATGATCGATCAATATGGACGATAACGCGAGATCGAGAAGGAGAGTGCTCACTTGAAAGGGTGGTAAATGATCTGGCCGTCTGTACCAGCCGTCGTCGTGTATGTGATCGACCCAGGCTGGATAGGCCCACCGGGGAGGGGCGGGGTGGGCGTGACGGCGCGCTGGATCCCGGGCGAGGGGGCGTGGGGCATGGGAGAAGCACCACCGACACCATACTGGTACGCCATGGTTCGCTATTCGAGGGAAATTACTAGGTTCTTCGGGAGGTCAGCACAGGGGAGAGAGGGAGATGGGGGCAGAGCAAGCAGAGGGCTATATCTGTATAGCGATGGGCTCTGGGATTACTGCAGCAAACACGTTGTTGTTATCGCCTGAGAATCAGCGTCACGCCTCCGCCTTGAGCTGCTCCCGTCTTCACTGCTTTGACTGCGGGGACTTGCCGGGCATCAGATGCCAAAGGGTCCAAGGGCGCGCGCGCCAGGACCATGCATCCAGGGCGGGCAAAAACAATATATACAAAGCATCATCAAGCGAGTACGCGAGCGAGAGCACGGCCGGGGATGAATTCGACACATCCGTATAGAGCGCGGGGGTATGTACATCGTACACGGCAGGCAATCATGAGAACCTCCACCAGAGCAGAATAATGAAGATGAAGACAACGGCACCTATTGGTGCGTACTGGCGAAGCATCGCCTGGATATTGATGTTCCGCGCCGCTTTGCGGTACTTCTCCGACTCCGAGCGTAGGGACGTTGATAGATGAGACATGCCTACAGCGGGGGTCAGCTAGTCCCGGGGGTACGATCGGGAGATACGTACGGTCGAGGGAATCACCACGCCAGAGAAGTTCCTCCATGTTTTTGGTCATGATGCGCGTCACGTCTTGGAGCTCATCGCTGAGTTTGTCCAGAGGTGAGTTGGAAGCATTGATGTTTCGAGTATCTTGGTACAGCCTTGTCGTCTTGGCCATGAATGTATCTGCGTAGCATTAACATACGCAGACAGAATTGCCTGAGTGGGGGTACTCACCGAACCCAACGAAGGCGTACGGCTTCCGTACGGTGTCTACCTTCGCGCCATACGACACTGCAAACTCTTTCGAGAGCTCGTCGAGATATGAGAATGCCAGCTTTCGCGGGTAAGACTTGTCCGCAATGACCAAATACACCACGTTGTCTGCAATCAGGTAACTGCGCCACAAGTCAGCACACTCGCAGCACCCAGCTAGAATGACACGTACTGCAACGTATATTGCCCACTCTCGATGGAACACCGCGGCTCTGCGTTCGGGGTGATTCGCCTGAAGATGAGCTTCGCCTGCTGCTTGTGCTCTTGGAGAGCCTGCTCTATCTATATGGCTCACTCCGCACTTGAGCGTCGTGCGATCGTCATCCTAGGACACACACACCTGCTCGTCGTCGACCGTCGCCGCGAGCGGAAGGGCGTCGGATGCCCGCACAACAATTGTAGACTTGACCATTGATCTGACCGTGTGCCGTAGGTGTAGTGGGGATGGGTCGCGGTGGGGAGTAGCCGAGAAGGAAGAAGTGAAGTCACCCAAGTATCGCGACACTTGCGAGGCGCCAAGGGCGGGGTGGGCGCCCCGCCCTCTTGACGTGTCCTCGGCCATCACGTGCGTGCCGTCGCGTCGCGGGAACCGGCGATGGCGTCACCGTCGGTCGCCGGATCTGGCTCAGTCGCCGGATACTTAAACGTTTCAGCTGTCCAGCCTTTCGGTCTTTAGCTTCGCCTTCTCCGACTTTACTCTAACTACCTGCAATCACAATGCCCGGTCTGTTTGACGTCCGCAAGCAGGTACGTTCTCAAAGCATGTGTGCGCTGGAGATTTTGTTTACAGCCTTTACTAGCTCGTCTTCTACGGCGCGTACCACAACAATCCCACCAATGTCCGCATCCACATGACCTTCGTCCCCCTCATCGTCTGGTGAGTCGTGACTCCTAGGTGGTACTGCGTCTTGCTGAAGCCACGCTGGCAGGTCCTGGGAGGTTATCCAGACCACCTTCCCGCACCCGTCCTTCCTGCCTCAAATCGAACACAAGTTTAACAACTTCCTCATCTTCGAGCTCAGCTATGCGGCGATCTACGCTCTCGTAAACTGGCTCTACTACTTCTCTCTTGAGCCCACTGCTGCCGTACGTCCCCCTTCCCCTCTTCTAGTCCACCAGTCCCGCCGTCCCCCCTCCCCTCCTACAGATCAGCTCTAATGCGTCCCCTGTACAGATCCTGTACCTGCCGCAGTACACTCTGATGTTGCTCACGGCCACCGCGCTCGGGAAGCAGAGCCCCAACGCGGCGACAATCGGGTTCATGCTGCAGGGCGCGTCCTGGGTCGCCCAGTTCCTCGGGCACGGCCTCGCGGAACGGCGTGCGCCCGCACTGTTCAACAACCTCCTCGGCGGTGCGTATCCTCCCTCCCCCATGATGTATCAGATGCTGATGGGACACCCACAGCGCTCGTGCTCGCGCCATTCTTTGTTCACCTCGAGTGGCTCTTCATGGCCGGCTACAAGCCCCAGCTGCACAAGGACATCACGAACGGCATCGGCGTCGAGATCACCAAAATTCGCAAGGCCGAGGGCGACAAGCGGCGCGCGGATGCCATCCAGGGCAAGGAAGACTAGACGTACTCGAGGTCGGGGTCTGGGAGAAACGAGATGCTGGCCCGGCCTCTGCGTCAGCGGGGTCGCGTCAGGACCAGGCCGGTGGCTGGTCTCGTGCGAGGCTTCGTTGTGAAACGTCACAACTTTACGGGTAGTTCATTGCTGTCTTTTACTTGTGTACTGGCTCCACTGTGATTGATTGTACATTGCTGACACTATTTAAACATCTCCTGCGCAGATTTTTGGCAGCCCCGGACGTAGATTCTTGCGCTTCCTTTCATTTCACACGTTCTAGATCAAGCTGGACGGTGGGGGCAGGCGCTGCTCGCCCAAGGGCGTAACGTAGCATGACGTGAGACCACCGTCGACCTTGAAGTCGATGCCCTACACGAGGAGGGAGGGGGTTGGTTCATATGGTCAGCACCAAGAAACGCCGGAACGCACCGTCACGTAACTGCTATCGTCGCTTGCCACTACGATGCTACGTCAGTAACCGCTCCTACAGAGACGTGAAAATTGGAACGTACGGAAGAGTGCACCCTTGGCGATCTCGACGGCCTCACCGAAGCGACCCATAGGAAGATGGACCAGCCGGCGCTGGCGCTTTTCTTCAGTGTCTAAGAAGTCCATCAGGAGAGCTGCGTCCCGTCTGTCAGAAGGTTGTGCCCGGACCAGTCCATGATGCGGTCACGTACGCGTCTTGAGAGGACCACTGTGGCGTCGCGTCAGAACACACTAATGTACGCGCAGGAGCAGATGAGGCGCGACGTACGGGCAGATGGAGTTGAGACGGATGCCTTCGCGGGCGTGGACCATGGCAAGCTCACGCGTCATGGCCAAGACAGCGCCCTAGAAGCGTGGAGCGTTCGTCAATGGGGGCAAGAAGCAGGAGCTGCAGAAGGTTCGACCTTGGATGCCGTGTCTTCGGGAGAAGCATGTGAGTGTGATAACAAAAAGGCGATATTCGATAAATGACTCACAAGCCAGTTGTGGGGTCGCCGCACCCATGATAGCGACGAAGCTGGCGGTGTTGATGATGCTGCCACCGACGTGGAGACTCTTGGTGGGGTCGGTGGGGTTGTTGCGCATGGCGAGGATGGCGTATTTGCAGCCCCACCAGACGCCCTTGAGGTTGATTGCCATAGTGAGGTCCCAGATGCGTTCCTCAGTATTGAGGGCGTTATCGTCTTCGGGGTGCATGATTCCCGCATTGTTGAACTGTCAAATTTCAAACTCGATAAGCGGCAGCTCGATGGGCGGGGATCGCGGGGACTTGCCATGACGTCGAGACGGCCGAAGAGCTCGACGGCCTTGTCTACGGCAGCCTTGATGTCGGCCTCGATGCTGACATCGGCTTTGAAGGCGACAGCCTTGATGTTAGGGTTGCGCTCCTGGACAAGCTTGGCTGCGCGTTCGACAGCATCGAGCTTGACGTCTACGAGGAGGACGTTGGCGCCCTCCTGGGCAAAGAGCAGGGACGACTCGAAGCCGATTCCCCTGGATGGGCGTAGGAGATGGGTAAACGAGACGCGAAGATGGAAGAGAAGAGAGGAAGAGAGAAAGCGTACGAGCCAGCACCTGTGATCAAGGCAGACTGGGCTGGATGTCAGGGGGCGTGGGTGTGGACGATGGAGGGGGAGATACCTTGTGCTGAAGACGCGCGGGCATGGTCAGGCGGCAGGGGGTGGTGGTCGAGTGGAGGCAGCTCAATAGGACGCGAATCGAATCCGCTCGTGGTCTAAGCCTAAAGTGGGTGCCCCGGCAGTCTCCGCGTATCCCAGAATGGCAGCTGTGCAGCTTCAGGGCCAGCCTTGAGCACGTCGGGTGCTGGCCAACCGTGGGCTCTGCATCTGCATCTGCATCGCCCTCGCCTCTTCCGACCTGGATGGACCCGCATGTGACCCGCCCCGCGAGTTTACGAGAGCGAAGGACGGCGTCTGGTGCGCGCGCTGCCGGCATATGTCGCCATCTGAACAAGCGGCAGACCGTGGTCTTTCCTATCGGAACACTCTGTCTCCGGTTCTTGGCTGCTCTTGGAAGCTTCTGTCTCATGCTGTGTTCCAAGGGTCGTCGGCCCACAGATGACTCTGGATACCCGCGCAGAGGCGTTAGCACTACGGCGCTGATTTGCATTGCATCCCAGAGTCCATATAATCCCATGTCAGTGTCGCCGCTCCGTAGTAACAGCAATGTCTTCCCTCACCCTCGTTCCTCTAGACATTACTCTAGCCGTTCTTGCTCTCTGTCTCATTAGACAGCTTCTCCACAGGAACAAGACTCCTCCCTTTCCTCCTGGTCCTAAGCCTCTTCCGCTCTTGGGCAACCTCTTCGATGTGCCGTCCACCTACCAGTGGAGGACATTCACCGAATGGAAGGCCCGCTGGGGCAAGTATTTTCTGTTTCGACCACTCCTTCCTGCACTGACCGTGCTGCCCACCAGGCGATATCTCCTCCGCCACCATCCTTGGCCAGCGTATCATCGTCCTCAGCTCCCTAGACGTCGCCGTAGACCTCCTCGAGAAGAAAAGCTCCGTCTACTCCGATCGGCCCGTCATGGTCATGGCCGGCGAGCTCCTCGGCTGGGCTCAAAACCTTGTCCTCTCCCCGTACGGCGACCGCTTCCGCGACATTCGCCGCTACCTCCACCGCTACATCGGCAGCCGTGGGCAGCTCGACAAGGTCGCTCCGTTCCACGGGCTCATTAATTCCGAGTCGCACCGCTTTGTTCAGCGGATGCTATCTGACTCTCCCAGCTTTGTAGCTCATATCCGCAAGTAAGCCTTTGCCCACTCGTCCCCAGTCGTTCGCTGAGCAGATGTGCACTTGCCGCAGGACTGCCGGTGCCATCATCCTCAACATGGCCTACGGATACCAGGTGCAGGAGGGCCAGGACCCCCTTATCGACCTCGTGGACCGGGCTGTTGACGGCTTCGTGGAGACCTCCACCCCTGGATCATTCCTTGTTGACACTATCCCCGCGTGTACGTATGTTTTTCTTGCTCGACCGATTTTCCTGACGAGTTTATGTACGTATAGTACGATACTGCCCTGCATGGTTCCCTGGCGCAGGATGGAAGCGGAAGGCCGAGAAGTGGAGGGCTGAATACAACGCAATGTGCGACGTCCCATTCGAGTTTGCTATGCAGGAAGCGGTTAGTCTTCCTCGTTCCCCTACGCCCACTGTAAGCTAAGGATAGACTTCACAGCTGAGCGGAAGCACCAGCAGCAACTTTATCAGCGACAACTTTGGGAGCATCAAGTCGAACGAGCAGGAGTACCACCTCAAGATGGCTGCCGGCGCTCTGTACTCGGGCGGCGCGGACACGGTAAGCCGTGTCGGCCGCGTGAAACCGTCAGCTTTTCGCTCATTTTTTTTTTCAGACTGTCTCGGCAATCACGTCCTTCTTCCTCGCGATGACACTCTACCCGGAGGTCCAAAAGCGAGCCCAGCAAGAAATTGACGCCGTCACAGGCACTGATAGGCTACCGACGCTAGACGACCGGGAGCAGCTTCCATACATGAGGGCGCTTGTGTCAGAGGTCCTGCGCTGGAACCCAATCGCGCCACTCGGTATGGATTCATGTGCCTGCCTGCGCTACAGACACCATTGACCTGGCGTGAGTAGGCGTGCCCCACGTCTCTACGGAGGACGACATCTACCGAGGCTATTACCTGCCGAAGGGTTCCATCTTCATCGCAAACATATGGTATGCCAAGGGCCCTGCTGAACATGTCCGCTTCCCCGCTGAACAGATGCTGTCCACAGGCACATCCTCCGCGACCCGGATACGTACTCGGAGCCGCTGCGCTTCAAGCCCGAACGCTTCCTCGGCGAGCAGCCCGAACAGGATCCGCGGTGCGCCGTGTTCGGCTTTGGGAGGCGCATCTGCCCCGGTACGTGCTCTTCCCACCACACGCGCCACACACACACACACACACACACTAAACCTTCGTGCGCCGCAGGCATCAACCTCGCGGAGACCTCGGTGTTCGCGTCCTGTACGATGGCGCTCGCGGCATTCGACATCGAGAAGGTCGTCGAGAACGGCGTCGAGATCACGCCAGAGGTGGCGTACTGCACGGGGACCATCAGGTGCGTTGGAACTACGGCAGGTGGCGCCGGTGTGAGCTGACCTTGTGCCGGATAGTCACCCGCAACCGTTCAGGTGCTCGATCAAGCCGAGGTCGAAGAAGGTTGAGGAGCTGATCCGTGGGCAAGTGGCGGACAGGACAGACTAGACTAGAACGAGTTTTGATTTGTGCTATCTTCTGGGGTTCGTTGTCTTTTCTGGAGTTTTTGGCGATGGATCATCACTATCTATGAAGGCACGATGCATTATCAACTTTTGAGCAGCTAGCTCCTGCTGATGCGCTTCATAGAGCTGTTGGCCTAAAGTTTCTCTCTCATTCAAAGATGGACTCTACAAACACAGCTGTCTTGGATCCAGTAAGGAAAAGGTCACAGGGGACGGCGACGACTGCTGACATAAGTATGGGATGGATCCTTGCTAATGAATACACACAAAGGGCAATAATCCAGCTCTGTCCACCGGGTCAGGTATCGATAGTCTTAGTCTTCCGCCTGAGCGTGCTGCGGCTCTGCCACAACGAACTTCGCACCCGCATTGTCGCGGCCGGGGAAGAACAGGAATTCTCGGCGCAGCGCAGCCGGAGACTCCGAGTCTGGCGCGTCTCCTTCAGCCGCCGGTGCGACTTCGCGACCCGCTTCGCCGGGACCTTCCTCGGACGCCGCGGGGTCCGCGCCGAACAGCGCGACCTTGTGCACCTTGAGTGCGGGGGCAATGCTCGACGTGACGTAGAGCTCGCGCGCGGTCCACGTGAACGTGCACGGCGGCGCGCCGCTGACGACGTGGTCGACGGTCCCGAGCTGGGCGTGCACGCGGTGCACGAGCGCGGGCGGGCTGCGCGTCGGCCGCCGCGTGCAGAGCCGGTACGTGAGAGCCTCGAGCGCGAGATCCGTGCGCAGCCGGAGGAGGCCGTCGTCCGCGATGTCGGAGGTCGTCACGCCCTGCACCAGCGCGAGGTGCAAGTGCTGGCCGCATGCGGAGAAGCGGCACTTGACGGTGAAGGTTGCGGTGGCTGCGACGGGCGGTCAGCGGGCGGGAGTGAGCGAAGAAACAGGAGAGGACTTGCCGGTTGGGTCTGTCTTACCGACTGAGCGTGTGAAGTATGTCTTCTCCTTGTAGTTCGCGAACAGGACTTCTGTCCCGGCCAGCGGCCAGACTGCCAGAGGTAGGGTCGGATGAATCTCGGGGGGAGAGTCGTGCAGCAAGGAGAACACCTTGCGAGAGAAGCAGAGAGCATGTTTGGAGGAAGAGAAGATGTTGAGCGACAGGGGGAAATCGATGCGCGGGACACGACGGGGCCGGCGTGCCCGGCCTCTTCTCCCGCCACGCCGCACTGGCACATCCTCGTCCGTTCCAGTGAAGGCAACGTAGCCGTATGCTGTCACATCGACATCGGACCCGTCGGACTCGCCGTCATCGTCGTCGCCTTCATCAACCTCCTCGACTATCTCGAGGTCGCTCTCCTCGCCAGACTCCTGTGCCTCCTCGCCATCGTTGCTGACCCAGTCCGAGGAGTCGTCAGACGCGTCCGACTCCGAGTCAGAGCTGCCCTCCTCCGCGGATGAGCACTCGCTCCAGGATTCGTAGGCCTCGTCGTCGTCGGGGACGACCGAAGACGCGTCCGATTCATGATCAGACTCAAGCCCGAGTCCGTCGTCGTCTTCGGCCTTAGCGGCAGCCTTCCGCGCCGCGGCGGCCTCTTTCTCTCGAGTGACAAACGCTCGGCGGCTCGCAACAGCGACGACTCCGTCGCGTCCCCCAAACTCCTCGATGTACTGCAGCGATTTCTTTTCTTCCGAGGGGGGAGCAGTCACGAACTGTCGATACTCTCCGCTGTCCTCTCGCGCGTACAGCTGGGTGCCAACGCGCAAGAACTGGCCGTCGGCGCTGAAGGCGGCAAGTCCGGCGCGCCACTCGCGGGGAACGAGCTTCGTGGTGCCGACGCCCAGGTCGGGTCGCTTCATGTATTGGAAGACGTTCGAGGCAATCTCCTCGAGGGCCCAGTCTTGCCGCGCTGCGTGAGCGCCGTGTTTGTTGGAAGGCTCGATGCTCTGTGCGTCGCACGCGACTTCCACGCGTCCGTCGTCTGCAGTACTACGCTTTGAGGTCAGATGGATGTCCCATGATTTGATCAAAATGTGAGCGCCAACCTGAGGCGCAACGCTCTCAGAGACCCGGAGTCAACATGGGTCACTTGTAGGTCAGGCCTGGAGGTCGCGTTATCGCCGTCCTCTGCAGGGCGAGGTCTGACGGCGGGATAGTCCATGCTAGTCTCACGACCTTGGGAGGGATGAGGAAGGTCTTTGCCTTTGGAGGGGATATAGGGCACTGGCACTGGCATCTGCATTGGCATCTGCATTGGCATCTGCATTGGCATCTGCACTGGCAGGAATACTGGCATTACTCTAGAGTGAGACATGATCTGCTGTCTTCAAGTGGTTTAGAAGAGGTAGATGAGTGTGAAGGAGTATCCTGCTCACCAGTCCTTGCTCGAATGCGCTACGGCGATGGGCGAGACGGGGTCTATATCGCCTCTCGAGCGTTCGTACCATGCATCACAAGATGAGGCCTAGGGCTATACCGCGCCCTTCTTCAATCTCTCCCGAAGACATCTAATACAAATTTGGGCTCCGAGTGACTCAACGCTCCCGAGGTGCACATTGTGCAATGTACTTGTAAACCTTGTACAGCGGGCGTCGGTGTAGAGAGAAGCGCCCGAGGACGCGCCCAAGCGCTTCCGTGTACAACGCGTCCTGATTATGAACCACACGCGCAAAACGCAGGAAAAGCATAGCCAACGGTATGTCTGCTGCCGTATAACGCTCAATGTCAATGTCGAATAGTTTCTAGGCATCCTTCAGGAGAAACGTCTCCTCGTTAGGCTCCGTGGCATGTCGCCAAAGCACCATTTACACACAACTTCCGCACAGTTTATCGCGCGATCCTTGACAGACACAGCCCCCTCACACACGTACGCGAGAAGCTTCTCATCTTGTCAAATGACCTCGAAAGCGAGCGCGTATCAGCGCATGCAGTCCGCAGCTGCACTTTCCCAAGACAATTGAGCCTGCATCCTGGTATCACTGCCATCTAGTGCCGGTGATGCTTCCCTAGCGAGTCATGCTTGCGGGTCGAATAAGTACTGCACCCCGAGTATCAGTGACTGCAATACAACTCTTCTACCATGTCCACGATCCCCCTAACAAACGGTCTGACTGAAGCAGAGACGGCTTCTGCTGTCATGGTCGAGCATGGAGCCTCCGGGGCTCCGACTAAAGATGCAGCCAAACCCGAAGCTAGGGTCCGCATCGCTCGCTATGATCAGGTGTAAGTGAACTGGCTTTCTTGAGACCAAACACTCTGCTCATCTGCACGGTTCCAGCTACAATCCGTAAGTCACCTCAATCTCACCGCAGACATGGAGCATCATTCATGTCGCGAAAGGCATACGAGGAGGACGGAGTTGCGGAAGACGAGCAAGCCCTTCGTCTCGAAAAAGCTGAGCAAAAAGAAACCAATTCTTCTTGTCAAACGAATCATCAACGCGGACGGCACCCCCGGACGGAAGGAAATCGATATCCTCAGCGAACCTCTGCGAGTCGTGCTCCAGGACATTCACCGGGACGTTCAGGGTACAGACTTATCGTCACGTACACCGACAGTAAGCATAAGTGCTCCTATGTCTCACGACCTTCCGTGTTGACTGCGAATGGGACAGGTCAACACCCACTTCTTCTTTCACTGCCGCAAGCAACTACGGGCTAAGCTGGAGGAGGAGAACGCACGAGAAATGCCAGATGGAACCATCGTTGAAGCCATCGAGACAGCACTGGAGTTCATTGACGAAGACCTCGGCAGCACCATCGCCGACTTTGATGTCCTTGTCAACCAAGGTCAGATCACCTACCACTTGCTTTGGGCGCTCTTCCCTCCGAACACGTATGTCCGGTCTTTCCATCGGGGCACGGAACAGGAGTTCGTGGCCTACGGGCGACAATTTGCTTATCAATGCACGATGATGGGAAACTTCGGCGACATCCGCTGCGACATCGTCAGCAACGACGGGAAGTCGTTTGGTGTCTCCGAAGAGCACGGCAAGATTAACGAGTTTCCGGGGACACGCCTCATCCTGGAACTCCCCTGCTATCCACTTGAATTTCATCCTGAGAAGGAGAAGTTACGCGAGCATGCAGTGCGCCGAGGCAAGCAATACGCTGAGATCACGAGGCATTTCTACGAGATCAGCGGACCAGCAATCATTGACAAAACGTCTACCTTCGACACTTCGCCTTTAAAGGTCTCCGTAAGTGTCTTGAGATTGTTTCAAGGGATGCTATTTAATTCACCATTTCCGCAGGGCACTGAGCGCGTGATGGTTGATCCTGCCGTCTTCAACCTATTCCGTTCAGATAGCAGTCTCATCCGTAACGTACAGCGCAACCTGAAGAAGAGCGAGATGACCGACAACGACTATCTTATCTGCACGCCTGTACTACTCGGCTTCTGCTTCCGATCTAAATCATGGGGTATGTATGCTTGCCTATCGTATTTTTGATAGGGCTAACACTATCGTAGGTGGATACGCGCTCGACCGAGTCCAAGAAATTACTTGGGTTGAGGATTGTTTCCATCAGCTTGTCCTCGGAGCTAAGCACAAGCAGCTCATCCGTGCCCTCATTCGCCAACACTCCGCAAAGACCGCCGTTTTTGACGACATCGTCGCCGGAAAGGGTCAAGGCCTGGTCGGCCTGCTCTGCGGTAACCCTGGATGTGGCAAGACGTTGACGGCGGAGGCCGTGGCCGAGATCACTCACCGCCCGCTGTACATTGTCAGCGCCGGCGAGCTTGGCACGTCTCCCAGCCACGTCGACGAGAAGCTGAACGAGATCCTCGAGCTCACACGCCTTTGGGACGCGGTATTACTGCTCGACGAGGCCGACGTGTTCCTCCAGGCACGAGACAATACGGATGTGTCCCGGAACGCACTAGTGTCTATCTTCCTCCGGCAGGTGGAATACTACCGAGGTATCCTTATCTTCACCACGAACCTCGTCGAACAGATCGATCCTGCTTTTGAAAGTGCGTATACTCGATTTCCTGACCAAAACAGTCTCTTAATCGACTGCATCGTTGCATATTACAGGTCGAATCCACTTCTGCGTTAAATACCCCGACCTGGACTTTGATGCGCGCAAGGCCATCTGGAAGACCTTCTTCACGAAGAGTCAAATCAGCCCCGAGGATGTTACGGAAGATGATGTCGACCGCCTCGCCAAGTACCCGTTGAATGGACGACAAGTGAGTAAACTTGCTTCTTGGGATCGCGTAACTTGACTCACCGTATACTCCAGATCAAGAACGCCGTAAGCACGGCCAAGTCCATCGCCATGGACCAGGACTCGAGGCTACTCGCCGAACACGTCGATACTGTGCTGGAGGTTATGAACGACTGGCATGTCGCGAAGACAGAACGCAGAACATTGCGTGCAGCTTAGGCGAGTTGGATGCCACTGGTGATCTCTGCAGAAGGCTGTAGAGCGGACTCTCTTGAGGAATAAATTCACATCATGCACGCTATTCATTTTTTTTTGTTTGCATGTACTGTCTCTCCAAGCAAATAATAGAGACGGGGACTTTCCACCAGCATCGTTCGTTTAGTCGACGGCTGAGCAGTTGGCACATCGTTCATGGGGGATTTCTGAGTAAGGTACACATACGGTTACATCACATGATCTGTGACGGGGTGTGGCAGCCATGCGCGCCAACACGATATGGCTGTGAAAATGAGAGCGAATGCGTACAGAAGTGGAGGGAAATACTGAGAATGCAATTTAACGTCGCATTAACAGCAGAGTAAGATAGTGGCGAAGCTAGATACCCATGGAGTGGGGCTACACACACAGATTTCCGGTACCGCTCGATGGGGCTCGAGCTCTCAGTAAGATTTAAGCATAAGAGTCGCTTTGAAGCTCATTTTCTTATAAATATCCATGCCGTATGAGCACTACCTGGCTTCTGGTCCACTGCCGGTGTTGGCGTAGCAAGGGATAGTGCAGTGTAGTGTACGATGAGGAAGGCATGTGTTATAAACATGGTGTTTTTCACATGGTTAATAACATGTTTATAACGGTGAGAAACTCGAGGGGGTATTTGACCCGGTGAGAAAGTGTGAGAAACTCCGGGGGTCGGCAAAGTGATGCAGGCCGACGACAACACACCAAATACGGCTACTATTGGCCGACGCCATGCGGAAGTCCGCTCGATAATGGCAGAATATATCCGCCGTGCCGAGTGCGCTACACAGGGTCCCCATGGACAGTATCCTGGGCACTATGTATGAACAACTCGTTTTATGCAGGATACGCTCGTGCCGACATTCTCAAGAAGCCGAACTTGCTCACGAGCACTGTCACGCTGCCTGCGCGTCCCTCCGCTAAGTCATCCACACCAGACGACAGCCTACAGACTCCCTACCCCACCGCATACCGGTGTGTCAAGGCATTCTTAAAGGTGCTCCTGAAGGCCGAAGTTGAGCTCGAGCCGAAGGAGTCTCGCAAGTCGCTCATCATTGAGCTGGGAGCTCAGCGTGTAGTGGAGGAGCTTCGACGTCAGCTGTTAGCGTACTCATCAGCAAAACCGCCAGCTCTTGGCGGCCGTCTTGGGCTTGAGGGGCCGTCTTGGGCTTGACACGGGTGTCTTGAAGCGTCTTGAGCTTAGCAGGCTGTCTTGGGAACTACCTTGGGCTGGAGTATGAGATAGTATGATATGCACTGAGCATTGGAGGTTATATATTGATTGGCCTGAAGTACTCTGTCGTATCCCTGCACACAGTATGTGAGGCAATGTGCTCGGAGTCTCGTCAATGCGTCTGCGAGCCGCGGGGACCCTTAAGCGCCAACTCCCTTCGGGCACTTAGAGTTGTCGGAAGCTCCCGGAGATGTTGACTTGTTGATTTGCCACGACTTCCCTTCTCCCTTCCAACAGTCACATCCCTCTTCCGCGGTTGCACTCCACCATCGCTAACATAACATGGATCAGAAAGGATAAAGGGTGGTGTCGAGACACTTACAGGGCACAGACGCAAAGGGGAAAGGCCTGGACACAGGACGGGAACGATACAGTGAGCACGTTTGTATCAGGAAAGGCTATGTACTCGGCAAACCACAACCAATGA